GGAGCCTGTTTGGGGCTGCTCCGCTCCAGGCTCTACAGCTCCGCTCTAACTTTGTCCAATCAAACACCTCTAGCTCCTAAAACTTTGCTCTAAGAAAAATGTGGAGTTCAAGGCCAACTCCACGTTTTTTCTTGAGCACCTCAAGGGGTATTCTAGAAACCCAAGTTTTGAACCTCCTCGTGGAGTTGCGGGAATATTACCCACCAATGCCACTCATTGAAAAAAAAACGTTTCATTTCCTTTCTTTATGTCCAACCTTCTTCCCCGTCGCGCTCCTCTCTCCCTCCGCGCTCGGCAGCGCCGCCACCGGTCGCGTTCGGCCCCGTCGCCACCGGCCGTGCCCCTCCTCCTCCTCCGTGCTCGCACCCATGGCTGGGTCGCGCCCCTCCTCTCCCCCTCCGCGCTTGCGCCCATGGCCGAGATCTGCCACGCTCGAGGAGGCTATCGTCGTTGAGCTCGAGGGCACCACGCGCGCAGGCGACACCGTCCATGACCGAGGTGCGCGTCCCACTTTGATGCCGCCACCGAAGAGGATGCCGCCAGAGGAGATCCGGTGGACACCGGGACTCCGCCGAAGGAGGAGATCCCACGGCCGCCGTCGGCTCCCTGCTGCGACCCTGCTGCGGCGGCGTCAACAAACCTCCTGCTCCCTGCTGCAACCCCCAAGAGTATCGGCAGATCGATTGACGCCGGTGCTGTGCGTGGTGGTGCCGCTGTACGTGGCGATGGTGATGTGCGCGGTGGTGTCGCTGTGCTCCGACGGTGGTGGGGCGTGCTGACGCTGGACCAGTGCTCCCTGCTGCAACCCAGACGTGGTGTCGTTGGCCGGCAGCCAGGCGGAGGAGCAGGCGAGGTGGCAGCGGACAACGCCATGTGGAGGCACAGGCCAAGGGCATAGAAGGACATCCCACCAAAACCTCCCTTCATCAAGATTGGAGCAGAGTTGTATGCCAAACAGGCACATTTGCTCTAGAAACTCCACAATGGAGCTGCTCCATTGTGGAATTAGTGGAGCATAGCTGAAAAAATAGGAGCAGAGTAATCCCAAACAGGCCCTTAAAAACTAGGTGGGTAGTTCCATCACAAGAAACCTAAACATATGAGCTTAGTTCGTCTATTTTCTATAAATTTGTTGAATACTCAAACTGCAATATATATATATATATATATATTTATTTATTTATTTATTTTTGTAAGGAGAGAGATTTTTTGGATCAGACCAATGTTCACAATCACAAATAAGTTGCATTTTTTTTACAAACAAATTAGTTGCAATTGGATGAACCAAATCAACACGTACATGCTATACAAAGCTATAAATCACGAATCAGGCCGCCCGGGCCGCGTGGTCGCGGGCCGGCCCGGCGCCGAGGACGTCGGCAACAGGCCTTGCCCGGGTGTGCATCCGCGGGACCGTCACGGTCAGGACGCCGTGGGTGTACGCCGCCGAGATGTCGTCCACGTCCACCATCCCCGGCAGCCGGAACTTCCGGTCGAAGCTCCTCGCGCCCGCCGCCTCGCGCCCGCGCCGGCGGCGGCGTCCAGCTCGGTGCGGATGACGAGGTACCTGGCGTCCTCCACCTCCACCCTGATCTCCTCCTTGCGCACGCCTGACGGACACACAGAAGCGAGCGTCAACGCCACAAACGAAACTGCTATTAGGCAAACCGACGAAGAAGAAGGCCTTGCTCGGCTCAGCTCAGCTCAGCTGGCTGGCTGTACCGACCGACGACGGCGAGCAGCACGCGCAAGTCTGTCAGGGATCGAGTGGGGTGGGTTACCCGGGAGGCTTGCGGAGAAGAGGTGCGCGGCGGCGGTCTCCTCCCAGCTGACATGGTTGGCCGCCCGCCGCGGCGGGAGCAGCTCCGGCTGGGACGAGAGGAGGGAGAAGAGGCGCCACTGCCACTGCCATGGCAGCTGCGCCGGCCGGAATCCTGGATGCTCCTCCATTGGGTAATAAGAATCCATGGCGAGCGGAACCTGTTCTGTGGCTGAGTAATTGGCCGTCAGGTTGCTGCCCTGCCTTCAAATAGTGTGCGTGAGTGTGACGGTGACACTGGCTGCTACTCCTCCATTGGATGCAACTTGCTGCTCCAAGTTGCGAGGGCTGCTGGTCGGCATGTGCGGCCCCCATGTGCGCACATAAATAAAGAAGTTGCGAGGGCTGCTGATGGAGACCGGGGAAGAGACGCTTTTGCCTGCAAAATATCTTGGCCATTGGCCGGGAGCAGATCCGGATAGCTTATTTGGATGATGAGTAACGGGCCACGGGCCACGGGCCACGGGCTTTAGCGTCTCTCCCAATATAAGTTAGCACACGTTTTGAGCCGGCAAAGGTCACAGCAAGAGATAATAACGTGAAAGAGCGCAATCGAAGAACTTTTGAGGGATCAACACGAACACCGGCTCAGGTCTTGGGGCTGATCAAGGAAGAGCTCGGAATTTTTAGTGCTGCAACTGGGAAACTAGAGTTGCCTTCATGAGACACTCCTGTTCTTTTACAGTTTTTTTGTGTTCGAGTAATGGTCATCGGAATGTAAGCCAAACTTGCTGTAGCCTGACTTTGGTTCCTTCTTATATGAAATAGCAGCGCCTGCTAATTTTTCAAAAAAAATAATAATAATAACAGGAGGAATTCTTTTACAGTTTTTTGTGTTCGAGTAATGGTCATCGGAATGTAAGCCAAACTTGCTGTAGCCTGACTTTGCTTCCTTCTTATATCAAATAGCAGTGCTCCTGCTATTTTTTTCAAAAAAAATAATAATAATAATAGGAGGAAATTATTTTCTTAGCCTAAAGAAGGAAAAAGTTCACATTATCTCTTTCAACTTTTACGAAATTCTGCTTTTCCTCTCCTGAACTCTAAAACCGGGTAAACCACCTTCCTGGACTTTTAAAACCGTTTGTTTTACCTCCCGACCGGTTATAAGCGGTTTTCAAAGGTGGTTTCATATCTTTTCCTTTTTATTTATTTTGGCTGAATCTTTAAAAATCATAGTAAATCATAGAAAAATCATAAAATAGAAAAATCTAGTTTCGTTGGACTCCACATGAGTAGATCTACATAGTAAACCTATAATATGGTATGCTTTAGTAAAAAAAATATTGTAACTTTAGATCTATGCTTTTTTATAATTAATTTATAGCTAAAGTTTTTTGGTCCAATTATGGTGAAACTTTTATGGTGGGCTAATTAACTTAGTAAAGTCTGAAAGACCTGTATAGCACAATTGTAGGTTGCTGAACTGGTTGCTTTTGACGTCAGGGGTAAAACACTAATTTCACATGCAACTTAACACCGTTAGCCCATCAAACTAACGGAAGGGCAAAAAAACCAAAGAAAATTCGTTTTAGGGCCAAATAAGCAAGTTTGAAAGAAAAGAGGCCAATAAACTAAGCAACACTTTCTTTAGGGCCAAGGAAATAATTTCCTCTAATAACAGCTATATCATATTGTATCTTCTAAAAAAAGCTATATCATATTGTAAGAGACATAAACATTGTGAAACATGTGAGACTATTTTTTTTTTTGACTCCACGGTCCACACTAACCTCTTTTGCAATATTAAACGAATAAAAATTGATTCAGCTAGCTCTAAGCTAGATTATTAGGGACACCCTCATAGCACAGAACACTCACTAGGACACATGCACGTAGGAGCGCAAGAATTTTTTGAAATTTTATTTTGTTAGAATAAATTCAGCATTAAGTAGCATTCTACCAAATTATAAGTCAGTTTTAGTTTTTCTAAATATATAACCCAAATATATGCTATATGTAATGTATGTAAAAAAGGCCAAAACAATCTATAATTTAAAACGAAAGTAATATTATAATTCTATAAATTTCAATCTTCGTTATCCCATTTTAGTCAAATTGGCACGTAGATGAATGCATGACAGTTACTTCATAGAAAAAGGGTCATCGTATGGTTGTGAGTGATGAGGGGTGAGGAGGGTTGCCCACGCTTAAGCTTGGACGGTTGGACCCATATATGCTTACAAAATGTTTCATGATGAATCTGGAGCTAAATCAAAACCAAAAGTTATCGTTGCTTTTCAACACATCCAAGAACGTCTTAATTGGACTCCATATGAGGAATTATAGCCGGTTCAATACAGGTTTATCTACTAATTACGGAGCGAACTCAACTCCGAGTTAAAATCAATAGGAGCTCCACACGACTTGACTCATCCATAGTTACTCCCATGTTCATTATGATCAAAATATCACAAGAATTCAATAACATACAAGATCATATTATAAAGCGAGAGTAACAAATTCACCTCACGACTTAAACGACGTGCACAAGCTCATGTAATTGGTCCCTTTATTAGCCGAGTGTCTATAGCAAGGACATCTATATCCCCATCATGTTGGTTTTGTTTGGTAGATGTTGCCATAGCCGCAACTGCAATTCCATCTTAGTGGTTAGTAGCTTTTATTGAAGTGCTCTGTATTCCTTAAAAGTTTTTTTTGCCATGATCTATAACTAATCCATGCCTCGTGTTAATGTGTATGCTCAAAAGTGTTCATATAAAAGTTGTTGGTTTCGTAGAGAATACTCCTACCATTTGAAATTATAAGACCTTTTCGCTTTTCGAGATACATACTTTTTGTATGGATTTATATATACATTGATTCTAAATACATAGTAAAACATATATAAAAAATCAAAACATCTTATAATTTAGAACGAAGAAAGTAGCATAAAACTTTATGGATTTGAATACAAAAGGATCTTCCTCCACTGTCCACAAAATGGTACTTACTACATGCCTTTTGATTTCACAAGTTATCAAGACATTAAGTGGCACAACACAACAGCCACAAGTGCAACCTTGTATCGCATGTCATTAGATCATCAAAATTAAAAATGTTATGAAAAAATAAAATTAAAAAATTAATATACATTTTAAGCGAATTAAACAGTTGAGTTGCAAAATATATTCAAAAAACAAACTGGACATGATAACGAAAAACAACTTAAAGAGTCAAAATGACAACGATAACGAAGCAACAACCAAAGTCTCTAATGACAGCAGTCGATCGAAATAGGACATCAACACACGCCAGTACATTCTGATACCATTTGATTTTTCAAGCAAGAGCGAAATTATGATATCCCTTGGGGTAGCCAAGCCATACACTTCATTTACTCTGAGATTAGTTGTCAGGTAGGGTTGCTGCGGTACACTAGCTAGGTGAGACAGAGTGCTAGAGTAGATTCATGTCAGTTGTTTTACCACAGAGAGGGGAGAGGCAGGCCATGCCGCGAGGCGACCACACTTTTCAGCAGGGGATTATGATTGTCTTTTCTTTCTTCTTTTTTTGACTATGATTAGATCATGTTTAACTGATGAAACTGAAATAAAGAGCATATGTTAATTACATGCATATGTCGCCACATTATCCACGCACATTCTTCATTATTACCCACACACTACACCTTACACTCTAGCCACGTACTCCGTGTCTAACTCGTCGCTTTGGATCAAATTTATAATGGTCCTTCATGCAAATCAAAAATGTGTTTACGATTTCGGTGATATTTAAATCCAAGGACTAAAGTTTAGAGGTGTCGGGTGTCACATCGGGGTATTATATGAGAGTGTTCGGATAATAATAATAAAACAAATTACAGAAATACTCGGTACTCCACGAGACGATTTTATTAAACCTAATTAATCCGACATTAGCACGTGTTTACTGAAGCACCACATTGTCAAATTATGGACTAATTAGACTTAAAAATTTATCTCATAAATTAATCGTAATATGTGTAATTAATTATTTTTTTAGTCTATATTTAATATTCTATATATGTGTCTAAATATAAATACTCGATGAGACAGAGACTACGGACTCAGAGGGGAGAAACTAAACGAGTCCTTCTTATCGAAATTTCGCAAATCTGAATACCTGAGCACGAGAGAATATTTGCCAATTATTTTCCAGCCTCAGGCCTCAGGAGTAGCGGTCAAGCCAAGCCAGCCTCAAATAGCCCAATCCCGCCGGGCTAAAACCCTGGCACCGGAGCTGCACGTCTTCTAGAACCTTCCAGCCCTACTTCCCGGAACCCTAAACCCTAGTAGCCGCCATGCGCCGCCCGAAGCGCCGCGCCGCGGCGAAGCAGAATCGCCTGCGGAGGTCGACGAGATCCGCCTCCTCAACGAATCGATCGACGCCGGCAAGCCCCTCCCGCGCACCAGACCCCCGCCCCCGTCGGAATCAGCGGGACCGGCGCCGGCGGCCGGGGAGCACCCGGAGCATGGCGCGTGCACACTGTTCGACGAGCTGCCGCTGTCGCAGAAGACCAAGGACGGGCTGCGGAAGGCGGGGTTCACTAAGATGAGTGAGATCCAGCGCGCCGCCCTGCCCCACGCGCTCTGTGGCCGCGATGTCCTCGGCGCGTCCAAGACCGGCTCCGGCAAGACCCTCGCCTTTGTCATCCCGGTAAATCTCTCGCTGCTGCTAATTTACTCGGTATTGAGATCGCGGGCTAAGAACGGTCCTAACACTGGGAGTGTGAATTGAATTGCGATCAGAGTTTCAATATTTAGTGCCGGTAATTGTGCGAATGGTTCCCTGTACATAGGTGTTTGTTACACCTTGTGTCTACCTCATCATATTTCCATGTCAATTGATCCCCTATAAGAAGTATGGTTGATCATGACAGCTAATATTCTTTATGAGCTCACCACATCACATTTCATCTTTGCAGGTTTTAGAGAAGCTGTACAGGGAGAGATGGGGTCCAGAGGATGGTGTGGGCTGCATTATTCTCTCCCCCACAAATGATTTGGCTGGGCAGATTTTTAAGGTGATCACGGAGGTGGGGAAGTTCCATAACTTTAGTGGTGGTGTCATTGTTGGTAAGCGCAAGGGTATCGAGCTAGAGAAGGAACGTGTGAACAGCTTGAATATCTTAGTGTGCACTCCAGGCCGGTTAGTCCAGCATTTCAATGAAACTGCCAATTTTGATTGTTCACAGCTCCAGGTAATCAAGCATATCCTGTTCTATGGTTATAGTGAATACCATTTTTTTTTTTGGTAATCTAATAAAGTGCTCTTGTTTCATTTTTCTTTCCCTATGGGAAAACAGATGTTGGTACTTGATGAGGCAGATCAAATTCTCGATCGTGGTTTCAGAACCCAGGTTGATGCTATCATTTCTCAGATTCCCAAAGTTAGACAAACTTTACTGTTTTCTGCTACACAAACTAAGTCAGTTAAAGACCTAGCAAGGGTTAGCCTAAGGGACCCTGAATATATAAGTGTGCATGAGGAAGCCAGAACAGCCACTCCAGATACTCTTGAGCAGTATGCCATGATTGTACCTCTTGATCAGAAGTTAAATATGCTCTGGAGCTTCATTAAAAGACATCTAAATTCGAAGACGATAGTCTTCTTATCTAGTGTCAAGCAGGTAATCAGTTATTATTTCTCTGAAGAGTACATTTTTGTTGCATAGTTATATTTTGTGAAATTTGCTAATTTCTTCCAACATCGGACTTCTGCAGGTCAAATTTGTTTTTGAAATTTTTAAGAAACTTCGTCCTGGTATTCCTTTGAAATGTATGCATGGAAAGATGGATTATGAGGTACAGCAGGCCATAGTTGCAGATTTCAATGAATCTACTTCAGTTCTTTTCTCAACTGATATAACCTCTCGGGGACTGGATATAAAGAATGTGGATTGGGTGGTACAGGTATGCTATTATGTTAAGCACTACCATTTTTCTTGTACTTATTCTCATGCTGTAACCTTTTTATCTCATTTACAGGTTGATTGCCCAGAAAACATTGCTAATTACATCCACAGAGTTGGCCGTACAGCTCGCTACAATAAGAAAGGAAAATCACTTATATTTCTTTGTCCTGAAGAAGAAGCAATGCTTGAAAAATTGAAGGCAACTGAAAGTAAAATACCTATACATATTCGAAAGGTTGGCAGCAGAGTTTTTCTGTTTTCAGTGCTTAATTGATTATGGTTGATCTATGTGGTAGATGCTGAGACAAGCGTTTAGAATGGTTATTCGGTCTCAAGTGACATAAAATTTGACAGCTGTTTATACCATAGAAGGGTAGGCCTGGTGCAGTGGTGAGAGCTGTCTCACCGAGTCACCAGGTCGTGGGTTCGAAGCAGCCTCTCTGCAGATTTGCGGGGGGAAGGCTTGCCTCGGTTTTTCCCTTCCTCAGACCCCACTCTGGGAGCCATGGGTGAACTGGTGAGAGGCCCACATGAGTGGGTCAGGGAAGGGAAAACCGAGGCAAGCCCCCCCCACCCCACTCATGTGGGAGCCTCGCACCCCCATACCATAGAGCTGCCACTAGTTCTTGCATTTCTTCTTTTTTATTTGTTACTTACTGTTCTTAAATGCTTTAATGTAGCCAAAGGCAGAACAACTGGAGCAGATATCTCAGAATATAGCTCGGTGCTGGTTAAATTTCCCAATCTGCAGGAATTGGGTAAAAGGGCTTTTATTACGTATCTTAGGTCAGTATACCTCAAGAAGGTGTTCGACCTGAGCAGGTTCTCTGCAGAGCAGTTTTCTGCATATGCTGCTTCGCTTGGTCTGCCTGTTACCCCCACGATCCGATTCATAAGCCACATGAAGAATGTATCGAAGAAGGATATGCAGGACATTGATACTAAACAGATGAAATCCAGTTCCAAACGTGAAGTTATCATCACTCCAAAGATCAACAGTGATTTGACTGTGTGTGATGGAGATGATGATATCCTTTATCCCAAGAAGCCCACGACAGATGCTAATATGGACAACGGACTTGATGATGTCCTTCATTCCAAGGAACCTGCCACAGATACAGATGTGACCAGGTATGTATTGCTACTCATTTTTCGAACCAAGACATTCCTACCTTTCAAATTTGATGCTACCAAATATCTAGTTCCAGGTTTTGTTTGCCGAAGTTATGGTAACCAGTTGTACTTGTCAGACTCGAAAGACCCTTCAAAAAGAAGAAACTGAAGATAAATGTGCACAGGCCATCGGGAACAAGGGTCAAGTATGATGATGAGGGCAACGTTATCCCACCTCTCGCATCTGTCGCTGAAGAAGTAGCTTTAGAACCTGTGGTTCACAAGGATAAAAGTCTGTTCTATCTCTGTTTCTAACCCATGATTTGCACGAAGGATGTGAACTCTAAATATGAACTTGCTTATTGTCTCTGTTGCTCCAGTTTCCCAGCGATATGCAGAGATGCTGAGAGAAATGCAGGAGCATGACAAGGAGGACAAGCTTGAGCACAAGAAGAGCTTGCGGGAGAAGAAGCTGCAGAAGAAGATGAAACTTAAGCGCAAGAGGCAGGAAGAGACTGAAGCAGGGCCAGAGGAGGATAGTGGCTCAGAATCAGACAGAGGCCGGGACACAGCCAACAAGGGTAAAAAGAGGTACTTCAATAGCGACGACGAAGACAATGACGCTGCAAAGAACGGTGACGTTCTCGCCCAGCAGGAGGCGTTGGCACTGAAGCTCCTGAGTAAAATGCACAGTTAGCTTAGGAAGCTGATGGTGTAGGTGACCCTTGATGGGGTTTGCCTATTAGCTGCTCCGGGTTGAAATTTTGACCGTGTTGCCTGTTGCGGCTTTGTTTTTCTGTTTCCCGGGAGTTGTTTTCCACTTATCAGGCATACGTTCATGGATGTATCAGGGTGACCTGCCGTATTACCCCAAGAAATCTTACCCAGATGAGGTTTTAAGTAAATGCCTTTGGTTTTATAAAGTTTTAAAATCGCATTAAAATGCCTTTTTAAATGTAGGGCGTAAAGTTTTGGGGATGTCACATCGGATGTTATATAGAGATGTCGTTGGGGTGTTCGGATACTAATGAAAAAACAAATTATATAATTAATAAACCGCGAGACGAATTTATTAAGACTAATTAATCCGTTATTAGCATATGTGTTACTGTAGCACCACATTGTCAAATCATGGACGAGGAAATCATGGACTAATTAGGCTTAAAAAATTCATCTTGCAAAGTAGTCACAATTTGTGTAATTAGTTATTTTTTTCTATATTTAATACTTTATATATGTGTCTAAACATTCGATGGAATATGGTGCAAACTTTTAGGAGAGAAACTAAGCCGAATTTTAGTGACAGGTGGAAATGGCATGGTTATGGTTTCCTCGGATCAACAAACATGCTCCCTCTAGCCATAAGGTTAGTTCTAGCCTTCTAGGTAAATAAATCTGTTGATTTAAATATCTATCCAATGATACTAATTATGTATCATAAATATTAATATTTTTTGCTCCCTCGTCCTCGTTGATGTCGGGAACGAAATCGACGCCGTTTGCTTGGGATTTGAGCTGAGCGCCTACAAATAAATTCCCTCTTGCGCCGTATCTGCCCGTGCTCGACTGCTCGCTTTGGATCCATCTTCCTGGCTCCAGCCGCCACCCCCGCCGGAGTTGCTCTTTCCTGTTCATCACCTCCATGTCCATGACTCCATCCGCCTACAACCAGTTCATGCGACAGCCTCCATGTCCATGACTCCATCCGCCTAAACCAGAGCACAGTTTTTTCTCACACGAATAATCTCTTTGCCTGCTTCATCAGCCTCGCGCATGCTGTTCATCAGCCTCGGCGCCCTTCCAGCAGTGTGAGCGCGCTCCTTCCAGCAAACCGCGAGCCTGGTTGAATCCGATCCAGTACACCCCGGTGACATATAATCTCATCAAAATCTCACTTAGGCCGACACCGCCCTCCTCAACCTCCGTCATCAAAATCTCACTTACGCATGTTTGATACCATAGATTAAACTTTACTCATCTACTTTATTGTCCTAGATATCCAAATAAACGGACCAAAAGTGAACTGTATTAGTTTTCAACCCAACTAGCAATTGATTTATTAGTTGGCAAATCTGGATTAATATAGACTAAGAGGCGCACATGAGTTTTTTTAGTCCACTTTTAGTCCAGCATTGGACTAAATTTTAGCCACCTATAAAACTTTAGCCATCCACCGCCTAAACTAATCTTTAGGTGATCCCCTACGTTTATGTGCCGTCGAGCGTCATTTTATTTTGCCGATGGATGTACTGTATGCTCCATGCCGCAAATTGTCAACGTCCTTCAGTCCTGACCAAGAGTGCACAAACGTTTGTCAACCACCCTACACCGACAGCTCACTACGAAAGGAGGTAAAGTGCAAATGGTTCCGGGCCATCTGAAACAAGCAAATAAACAATCTGACGAAGGCATCAATCTCAACAGAGCATACTTTAACGGTCAAGATCTCAACGACAAACAAAATAAACATCAGGAGTGCCATCATCGATTAACACTGGTGCCCAAGAACAAGTCCAACCACACCCATGCGACTACATGACCTCCACATCTATAGGATGTCTCATTAGGCAGTGCCCTGTGACTCTACGGTCCCTCTGATCTGATATCGCTCCAGAAGTGCACAAGCAATCATCATCTCGATGATCGTCACTGCAAATGCAAATGAAAGACAACAAAGTTACTCATCAGCCTTGTCAACGTCCCAACATAGAAGATTCGTAACATAACACTGTATGGCTCAAATTATCTTCATCAGCAGTTGGCTGGTTCAGGATAGTAAGATTTTTAACAGTCGATTTCCTAATTTCTTTCAACTATAAAAGGATAGTAAGAATTATTAAGCAATGGGGATTGTCGGTGTCCTACCTGCTGTGGAGGCGGAGGCTGCTGCTGCTGCTGCTGTTCCTGTGTTGGCTGCTGCTGCTGCTGCTGCTCATAGTTACCATAACCAGGGTATCCATAGTAGTTTTGCATGCTTGGGTCTTGTGTATTGGGTGCAGCATAGCCATAACCTTCATAACCCTGCTGTTGGTATCCATAATAGCTGTTCCCATTATACTGGCTGTTGGCATCTTGCTGAGAAGCCTGATGGAGAATCGCCTTGGATTAATCAACTGTTATAGGTAAGTGAGAATTCAGCAAAAACTAAGATTCCATCACACACAATACCTGTCTGTTTTGAGGAGTACGGCCCCATGAAAGCCTAACTTTCTGCCCACCAATCTGACTCCCATTCAGCATTTGGATGGCTTCCTCAGCACATGACCTGAAAATACGGTAACCCAATCAAGCAACAAAGAATTAAGTCACATATATCAGTCTGAATGGTTAATTAAAGAGCTTTAAGCATTTATATGAACCTGCTGGTAAATTGAACAAATCCACAATGCTTGCCTACAGGAATCTTCACAAAGGAAATTTCTCCGTATGGAGTAAAAATTTGCCTTAGATACTCCTCATCTACATTGGAATCTAACCCACCCACAAAGACCTATTGCAAAATAATGAAAGATAAGGTAACGAGAATTCCTAAGTCTCCTTTTTGAGAAAAAAAAGTCCACTTACTGTTGTATAGTTGGGATCATTCTCTGAAGAATTTCCTTGAGAGCTCTGGTATGCTCCTGCAATGGCAAGACAAACCATCATCAACAAAGCTGGCAAACTGGCAGGGAATTCAGACAGCCAAAATGCATTGGAACACTGGCTATTCTGGCCAGCAAAAGTAATAGCTTAACATATTCTAGTAAGTAATAATGATCCAAAATAGCGAACACCATTTGCGGTAATGTAAGTAAACAAAACAAATAAAGAAATGGTTAGCATTCCAATGAGGTCAGAGGAAGAATACAAGAAATCCTTGCTTCAAAGAGTTGTTCACTGCATGCACAGCTTGGCTGCAACAGAAAAAATTTAAGTACTATAGCTAAACTGTCAGTAGATAAGCTCAGATTATCTACGATACCCTGTATCTTTAAATTACCCCAACTATGTAGCAGCAACTGTGTGCATTAATCACTACCAGGAATTATCCCCATGCGCTACTACAGGCATGAAGTAGAACATATTAGCTCAACTATTTCGTTTTTTATTTTTTAATCTTATCCCGAGGCATCAACTGCCGATAAAATATTTCACATAATAAGAAATTAAATTTTACTGTGTTGCCAAGCCATACCAACTACCAAACCCAAACTCAGATAAGCAGAAACAAACAAATATGCATAACTACAAAGTGCATTCAGGGAAAATTACTGAGAAATAAAAGCAAAAGGCATCTGCAGCATGGAATAAACCAGATAAAATGCATGAGGAAGTAGGTGCAGGCACAAGCAGCTGAAAGTTGAACAAAAAAATATTTTCTGCGCCGCAGCAGAATTTGGAGTAACTCTACAAAATGGTACATTGAGGGTACCAGATAAGCTACAGGTGAAATTATGAGCTTCCTGAACTATACAGTACAATGTGGAGTAAATAAACATGTCACAGGTGACATTAGGAGCAGATTAAGAAATCCAATCCAAAGATGAGAAAAAAAGGGAATATATAAAAATAAATATTACAAAACCCATATAAAATTTGTACACATTAGCTATCACAAGTACTTGATGGACAGTAATTTTTTTAAAATAAACTGAAAGCACTGGAAGACTGGAAAGTAAGTTCAGATAAATTGATGCCTGAGAGAAAGTACAAATATATAGCACAGTTGGCCCTCTAAAGTACTTTAGAACCAAAATCTCACGAAATTTAAACACTGACCTAACCGAGGCACGGTTACAGGAGACATCTGAAGACATTTCCAGGCCCTAAATGCAGATGGCATGGCATCCTGCTTTGAGAAACACGAATTTTGTTTAGTGGTTTTATTACTTTGTTGTGTTAAGTTATCCCAATCTTAGACTTGGAACGGAAAGAGCTGGAAGGAAATGCCTGTTTACAGAAAGAAGCTATGCCAGCTATGCTGCGGTGGAATGACTATGAAAACACTATCATCCAGCAAGAAAAATGGAAAATGGAAAAATAAATCAGAATATGTAAGTGGGTTCAGTTTTCAAGATGCAGTGATGCACTTAGATGCTCTCATAATCAGTACTCCTGCAGGATCCTACACAAGCAAGTATGAAACAATAGAAAAAAAAAATAATTTTAAAACCTATAGGAAGATGTTCCACAAGTACATACCGTTAGTTGCATATGTCTGCTGAGCATCCGTATTCTTCTTGTTAGCTGCAGCACCAATCCTCATGTGCCTTGTAGATAACATCATTCCATTCATCTCGGTCATAGCGCGTGCCTGCTCATTCAGATCTCCAAAACGCACGAAACCATATCCTTTGGGCCGTCCAGTGACCCTATCAACAACTACTTTAGCTCCTCTAACTGAAGGGTAGTTAGCTCTGAACACATCTTCCAACATGAAGTCAGTAACATCAGGAGCCAAATCACCAACAAATATTGTGTGATCAGAACCACTATCTCCACGCTTATCCCCAGTGCTAGCAGAAGCCCAGTTCAGCTTATAAGCCATCTCAACATTCGGCATCATCTGCCCATTGAAGTTCATCAGAGTATGTTCTGCAGCAGCTCGAGAGTAAAACTCAATAAAACCATAACCTTCTGAATGCCCAGTCTGCTTGTTCTTTATAATTTTTACAGAGGCAATCTGCAGTTACTTGAAAGTATTAGGCCAACAATAAATAATTTAACAAATGTATTAGGATTCCCATCAGATAAGAAGCACAGTAGTTCAACTAAAATATATCACAAGAGACTTATATTACCTAATCGTTATATTGAACTTCCAAATTTAAAAAATCAAACTATATATATGAACTAGAAACAAGCAAGATATAACATGGAAACTATAGCATCTGTCTTACAAAATCCTGGTATAAGTTGGTTGTAAATAAGTCAATGTACTCACCTAAAGAATGACAGATTATCATCAATTCATGAAGAGACACGTTGCTCATCACGCACAACAGAGATGAGCATTAAAAGTTGAAAACAGAAAAAAAAAACACCTTGGCATCTGTGCCTACAGCTTACAATCATAGTCATATGCATGCTTCTGGGCCTAAAACCTAACATCTTGATTGAAATAGCATGTAGCTATGCAAGAAATGAGCTCCTTGGCTCCTCACTGAAGACACTGGACTAAATGATCTAGTATCCACGGCTATAACTATAATAACAGAAAACATAATAAAATAAACAAGAGCATAACAGCACCTACAGCCGCAGGCATATAAAAACCTAATTAGCCAAACCAATCGTACAAGGGCGCCCACCCTCAGATTTCCAATGCCACGGCTTTCGGGGAGGGGAGATAGAGAGAAGGATCACCTGTTGGCTCACGGGCCCGAAGGCAGTGTAGTGGAGGTAGTTCTCGTCCATCCAGTACTGAAGATCCCCGATCCACAGCGTCCTGACCTCACCGCTTCCCGGCGTGGGCCCATACTGCGGTGGCTGCGCGTACTGCGGCGGCGGAGGAGCGTACTGCTGCGGCGGCGGAGGAGCGTACTGCTGCTGCGGCGGAGGGGCGTACTGCTGCGGTGGTGGCGCGTACTGCTGCGTCTGAGGCGGGTACTGCTGCGGCGGTGGAGCGTACTGCTGCTGCTGCCCCCACGGCTGCGGGGGGGCCTGCTGGTAGTACTGCGACGGCGGCGGCGGCGGCTGCTGCTGGTAGTACGGCGGCGGGGGCACCTGCTGCTGCGGAGGCGTGGGCGCCCCGGATCCCTGCGGCGGAGGCGGGCCGTGTTGCCCGTTCATCGGCGGCTGGTGCGGCGGCTGCATCGCTTCCCCGGCGAGGCAGAGAAACCCTAGGGCGCGGTGACGAAAGCCAAAAAGGAGGGCTTTTTGGAATCTCGATGTGCGGGAGATAGGACGAGGCGGAGCCACGGAACGCGTGGGGCGGGGCGGGGATATGGGCCGGGCCGCTGCGTCAGAATCTTGGCTTTTGGAAGCCTCCGCCCTCCGGTTCGTGACGGGCCCTGATGGAAATCGGATACGATTGCGAAGGTGGCCCGGTTGCATGGATGAGGAGTCTGCTGCCGTTAGATCTGCGATGAACTCGACTTTGGAACACAGCCTGATTATTTGGCAAGAAGCAGCAGCATGCGTCCATGACGTGAGTTTGTTTGGCTCCTAGGAGATGTTTGGATCCAATGTTTGAGTCGTAGGCAGGAGATGTTTGATCCAAATAGTAGATTATAGTAGTAATAACGGTAATGCTATGATTAGGGTGTCCGAACACCGGACGCTACGTGGCTTTACGCCGTCCACTTATTGTATCCACCACAAATATCTGATACTATACGCTGCCTCCCAAAATAAAAATCCCCCACTCCGCAAGCTGCCAGTCGCGGTACACACGTTCTGTTTCTGCCAGATCCAATCCACTCAAACACTCCCTAAGTCCGACAGTCAAAGCACCACCCGCCGATGACGTCTCCATCCCACTCAATCGAGGTCTGGACCCCCGACGACTCGATGCAGCCCACCACCGCTCTCCTCTCCTCCTCTGTGGCCGCACCCCAGCCCTCATTCGCCCTGCCTCCCGCTCTTCATCACGGCGGCCCTCGCTGCCGCCACTGCCTCTGTCCCCTCACCGTCGTGACCGTGGCGTTCGCTGCCACGCGGACGCTCTCCAAGCTCCCCCAAGCCTTTGGTGTTGCTCATATCCTCGGATGGCTTCCGCTACAGGTACTAGTACAAGGTCCCTCTCCCGCACATCTGCCGCCTTATCCTCGACGCCAGGACCGGCGTCCTCCTTATCACCTTCTCCTGCGGCTAGAGACGGCAAGGGGCATCGTGGCCATGCCATCGCTAGACATGGTGGTCGTCGTCCACTAGAGTGTCGCGCATGACATGTTGCAAGCGTATGTTTCAAGTGTTTTAGGGGTTTCATATGCATGTTGTAAATTGTTTCACGTGGATGTTGCAAAAGTAGATTGAGAGGCTGCATATGTTGCAATGGTTGTACATATATGCTTCAATCATCTGTTTCAATTGTTTCATCTGTTTTTTCAGACGTATGTTGCAAATGTGTTTATTTGGATATTGCATATGTTTCAAACATATGTTGCAAGTGTTTTTATCTGGATGTTGCATATGCTTTCAAATGGCTTTTTAAGTGTTTTCAGGTGTTTTTGCAAGTGTTTCAGATACATGTTTCAAGTGTTTCATCTGTCTACAGACGTATGTTGCAAGTGTTGTATCTGGATGCTTCAAAAGTAGATCAGGTGTTACATCTCTCCTCTCGCTTTCTGTTACGTCTTGCCTCTGTGTCTCCTTCTCCTCCTGGCGCCGGTTGGGCATCTGTCGCGCCCTCACTCTCTTCTTGATGCTGGTGACGTTCGAGGCGGCACGGGCCCCACGTGGTCGCGCGAAAAACAACGGGAAACGATGGCACGACACGAGGGAACGCCCATGGGCCTACGAGGCCGATGCAAGTGGGTGACGTAAGACAGTACTGGTCTATAATAATAATTTACCGGGGGCGGTTAGGCGGACCTGAAAGATCGTGAGGGCCGTGAGCGCTGTCACTTGACGGAATTGTCCGATATTTGGAGCAGCGCCGGGCGCTAGTAATTCCCTAGTAATAATCTACTACTCCCTCAATTCTAAATTATAATATATTTTAACTTTGCTAGATATATTATTTTTAATATATATATAGACATAGTGTATATTTAAGCCTGTAGCAAAACATATGTATCTAAAAAAGCCAAAACGTCGTATAATTTGGAATGGACGAAGTAAATAATCTGAAAGCAATGTTCTAAATAATTTTTTTTGTGAGGAAACTAGATCCCACTCCACCATATAATCTATATACTGTATTAATTAGTTGAGTGCCGACGTGGTAATTGTAATCTTGGTACGGAGTATTAACTTAATAGTGAATTAAACACCTATTTAGCCAGCCCGTCTAATGTTCTTTCAAGTTAGTCTAAAAAAATATTCTTTCAAGTTGTTTAGACTATTTTAGTCATGTGTTTAAACGAACTAACCGAGGTTCTTATCGACATGGTTGACCTTCGTTTACCGTTAGGATGATCGGTTGGCCTTTTACTTTACCGTTACAATGACCTCAAGATAAATCGATACATATGTGTTTTTTTGTTTCCAAACTACAGAAATCTTGAAAATTACTCTATTCGTTTCAAATTATAAAATGTTTTGGCTTTTCTAAATATACATTATTTTTCTTTTGTATTTCGATATAGTATATATCTAAGTGCATAGAAAAACTATGTATTTCGAAAAGCTAAAACGTCTGTTGTTAAAATGGAGGAGTAATTGCGGTCAGTGTTTAGATTTTTGGCGGACAAGCCGCCCATTGATGTCACCAGATCAGGCAACTACATGCCAAATGCACGCACAATGCGGTGCCACGCAGTGGAAACTTCTGAGCCGTGCAATCATTGAATCGAAACGTCCACAAACAACAAACCATGCTTCTCGTTGTTGGTAGGAAGACCGAAGAAAATACAGAGGCAAGCTTCAGGTTTGGACTGCTCTTGTGTTAAACAAAGCTTCCCGGCCACCAATCCCTTCCGGACATCGCTGCGCTGCTGACCTCCGAATCGTCCATGGCGGCTGGGTCGCGATTAGGTTGCTCGCCTTGTTTATTGCCGGGAGACGCCTCTGATGTCATGCAGCTTTCAGAGGTTTCTGCGTGAGAGTGACAAAAGGCCCCGCGAACTTTGTTTGCAGATCGACGGCGTCATCTTGATGCCATTTGTCAACCACGCGTTCAAACCCCGGCGTCTTTTAATTCCTTTCAAACTGATGAGCGTTTCTTTGAGGGGCCCCTCTCGGGGTTTTCAGTTCAAATGGCACCGCATTTGTAAAACACGTTCAAATAATCGAGCGTTTTGTTAAGCCTTGTAGGTCAAACCGTCAAAGATAATGATAGGGAATGTGAGACACAAGCTATCCACTTTCGTTTTCCGATTGAGACGCATGTTTAGAACATGCTGAGGTCAAGCGTTTTATTCAGCTTTCAAAGTTTTCGACGGATCGATTTTGGTTCGATCTCTCTCTACTTTTCCCTTGTGATGAAGTTGAAGGGACCATCCTTTTTAATGATTGGTTAGTTGACCGTGGGGAGAAAAACGGGTTGCTTAGCTTCAAACGTTTCATGATTAGTGTGTGGTCAGCTGCTGTCTGCGAAAAAAGTGTAGAAACTAGATCACAAATCTACCTTTTGTTCTTCTACCATAAACAACCGGTCACTCTCTTTCTGTGTTGCAGAGGACCGGCAGGAAACATGCATGCTCGCATACTCTGGGTAGTAGGTGTTTGTTAAGCTAAGTATGACTTTGTTTTGGTGATGGTTTTGTTTGAGTAACTTCCAGAAGAACAAGGGGGAAACATCATTAATGCAGTAAAAATACTCTGTATTTACACTCTGAGACATACGATGCAGTACTTACCGGCGATTCAGTGATTGAAGATTCAAAATGGCTCCAACGAAGGAACAAGCAAGATGAGAGTTTTACTGGTCATGGTCACATGGTAATCCTGCTGGATTGCTGCTGCAGATGCAAATCAGCATAAGCCAGGTGAACCATACTGCAGATCTAGACAATGGAGTCAAAGGTTGGAGACAGGATGCTGGATTACTGGAAAAGATGATTGACATCACGATACAATGTGACAGAGAAACTAGCGAAGTCTAGAAAAGGGGGAAAAAAAGGAACTAAGATCTCTGATTTTTGCAGAACATGCAGAGCAGGATTCCAGAACACAGAGAGGAGTAAAAATGCAGCCTGGACAGGAGGAGCATTTCTTGATTGCTACTACTATTACACATTTTGTATGTATATATATGATTCCATTCCATTTCCAACACCTACTTAAACAGATACAAACTGATCCCGATCCCTCAGCAAAGCTCAGCTGTTACGAACCATTGCTTTGATATGATCCATGGCTCAACACCCAAGAACCAAACCAAAATGGAAGAAGCACGAGGATTCCTCCTCCCGGAAGCCTGGCAGAGACACAGGGCATCATCAAGAAGGCGACCCCTGAGCTCCGTGGCCGACGAGCCGCCTCAGGTTCCTGAGGTGCCTCTGCAGGGCCCGGCACGCGCAAGCCCTGAGGCCACGGACGGCGACCCTGAGCTTCTTGAGCCGCACGCCGATACTGGACCTGGTCCACGCCAGCACGCGCGCCGACGGCCTGGGGCTCTTCTCCTCCAGCACCTTGTGGATGAGGTACTGCGCCCTGAGGTGCCGCGCCTCCTCTGCGTCCATCTTGTCCACCTTGGCGTACCCGAACGGCGTCGATGCCCGCAGCAGCAGCATCTTCGGCTCTTCGCGAAGCAACGCAACGACGGCGACGAGGGAGGAGGAGGAGGAGGAGACGGGAGGGATGGAGGGGGGGGTCTCTTGGCGTGAGCTTCCTGCAGGGGTTGGCTGTCTGGCCTGAGACGACGTGTGCGCCTCTACTGTTATATAGGCTGCCGCCGGCTTAATCCTCCTGCAGGCTGCAGCCTGGCTCTGGCCTATATTTCTGTGGAATTATTGATGGGATCATGAATTATTATTAAGGTGGTGGACAGGCCGTCTCAATGCTGATAATCATTGTTTATTTCTTGCACCGCCGAGCTTATTTATCTCTTTATTTTATATCTGATCTCTCGACAGTCGACACATTTCGCAATTTTGAAGCTCATGACATATGCTAAAGACGATGGACGACATGGTCACATCATTTCCTAAGTCCCAGAGGAAACTTCAGTCACATCTTGGTTCCTCTCCAAGTCTCTCTCGTTGAAGAGAAGAACAACACTTCAGATTCATTGGCTTCTGAAAAAAATCTAGGCTGTAATTGTATACATGACGAACAAATCACGAGCTTTGAATGCGAAATCCCAGTACCCGGAGAATTTTACGCTCTCGTCTTATATGGAGCATTAGCTGTCTTTCCCTTTCTCCCTTTAAACAGAGGCTGCATATTTCTTCCAGCTTTTTAATCATCAAGTCCGGACTCTGTGAGGTACCACGGCGCTAGTGTGACCATGAGGATTGTTATGTGCTTCCATTCCTTATGATCATCATCACTCATCAAAGATCAAAACGACACGGATAATCGTAGTGGTAATGCTGGGAAGCGTCCGTCCGTACGGATGCTCCATTGGTGGGCGCGCGATCCCAGCCCAAGACCCTCCGCTCCTCCGTTTCTAAATAAAAAATCCGCTTGTCCACATACTCGTTCCTATCCGCTCACTTTCTTCTAATCCGCGCCTGCCGGCTCCAATGCTCGGCCGCTAGCCCAGCAAGGCACGGTGTGAGCCGGGCCACTCCGGCGCGCCGTCGCCGCCATTCCCCGCCGCACCTCCATCCCCCGCCGCGCCATGCCCGTCCTCCGTCGCTCCTAGGGTGCGCTGGGCTAGGCCGCTGAGTAGGTGCTCACCCAGGGGTGCTCGTGCAGATGCTCGCCCAAGGTGCTCACACTCTCACGCGGGTGCTCGCCCAGGCCGCCGAGCAGGTCCTCGCCCAGGGGTGCACCGGCGAGATCCATGAGCCACGACGGCATCGAGCTCCGCGATTCGTCCAAGCAGCAAGGCGACATGCACGCTGAAATGCATGTTGCAAGGGTATGTTTCAGATGTTTTATTTGAGTGTGTTTATGTGGATGTTGCAAAAGTAGACCGGGGATGTTGCATATGTTGCAATGGCTATACAGGTTTGTTGCAAGTGTGTTCCAAATGTTTCAGCTATCATCTTGATGTTGCATATTTTTATCTGGATGTTGCATATGTTGCAGTGGCTATACATGTATGCTGCGAGTGTATGTTCCACATGTTTCACGTTTCACCCGTTTAGACGTATGTTGTAAGTGTTTTATCTGGATGTTGCATATGTTGTAGTGGTTATACACATATGTTGCAAACGTATGTTTCAATTGTTTTAACTTTTGTTTCAGTATGTTGCAACAGGTGCTGCTCCCCACGCGCTCTGACTCACTGGCAAGCATGCGCTGCACCACCGGGCGTGTTCCCCCACGGCGGAGCATGCAGCCGGCTCAACACATTTGCATGCGCGATGTGCTCCCTCCCTCTCTCGCATTGGGGCATGCGCGCTGTGCTCTTTCTCTCGCATTGGGGTATGTGACCCCTCTTTCTCCCTCATGCAGCTGGAGTCTCTCTCGCATTGGGACACGCGCGCTGCGCCCTCTCTCTCATTGAGGTATGTGCGTTGTGTTCCCTCCCTCTCTGTTGCATGCAGCTGGGCGGGCAGGAGAAGGCATGGGGCGCAGCAGTAGTAGGAAGAGGCATGGGGCGCAGCAGCAACAGGAGGAGGCGCGTGTTCCCAAAAAGCAAGAGGAGACGATCAGGCACAGCAACATGCGCGGGCATCCGGACGCGCGGGTCCGTCCGGACGTTCGGGCGCTAAGATAGCCCTAGTCGTAGAGAACCCGGTGCCGTTCCAATTCACTTAGGTCCCCTTTTGATCCACCTAGGTAACTGTTAGCTGTATTTTTGTGTTTGGTTCCGTGACTAAACTTTAGTCTCCTGTCAAATCAGATGTTTGGACACTAATTAGTAGTATGAAATATAGGCTAATTAGAAAACTAATTGCACAGATGGAGACTAATTTGCGAGACAAATCTATTAAATCTAATTAGTCCATGATTTGATAATGTGATGCTATAGTAAACATGTGGTAATGATAGATTAATTAATCTTAATAAATTGTCTCGCAAATTAATCTCCATATGTGCAATTAATTTTATAATTGGCTCATGTTTAATCTTATTAATTAGTATCCGAACCTCCGATGTACTTTAGTCCCTAGATCCAACCCCCTGACTAATAAAATAATTGTTATCCGTGTGTGGTAGGTAAAACATTAGCTAGCTAATTTTTTTTAGCTAACTATTAGCTGAACGGATCCAAACAGCCTCCTAGTCGTAAGGTTTGTCCCCGTTTTGGTTTGAGATCCTCGAAGTCAAAATCCAGTTTCAGTGTCCATCACTTGGATTGGCTGAAGCACAAATAAACTACTCCCTCACCAATGCAAGCGCATAAATACTTCCCTTCCTAGAACACCGCTTTTTCCCCCATTTTCTTTTTCAGCTTGTCGTCAGGATCTCAACCAACCGGAGAGGCTCTTTCCAGGCCATTCGCCTCAGAAGATTCCCCTTGTTGTTAATCAACGGATGCATGTCAAGGCTGTGGTTCGATGCAAGTCAACTGCAGAAAATAGGGCATAAACAAAGGCGATGTACGTTCTGATGCAAATCGCATCTGGGGCCTAGGCAGGCCTGCACCGCACTAGAGATGCCTCACTTGGCGCCTGCGCAGTGGCGGATCTAGGACAAAATCCTAGGGAGGCTGAACAAGCAGTTGTGTTGGGTGCTGGCCGCTGGCTACTACCGTGTTGTGCTGCTGCGGGCGTTGTGCTGCGTTGCTGCTCCATGGACGCGGGCGGGGGGCTGAGCCCCCAGCCCCTGTGGCAGACCCGCCACTGCGTCTGCGTATTATTGGCTCTGATGCATCGCCCAATGCAAAGGTTGCCTTGCCAAAAAGGTCGGCTTCTCACCTTCATCTCATCACCTAAACACGTCGCCTCTGCCGGCACTCGTGACTTGTGAGGTCACTGAAAGAAAGAACGAGGCACACCACTAACGACACTGGTTGGGCATGCATGATTTCTCTTACTGATTGAATTACTGAAACCAACAAACGAACATGGTGTATTACTAGTATATTCAAGCAGGTTTCATGAGGACTTGAGGAGGTCGAATAACACCTAAACGTCACTACTAGGATCAAATTTCCAGTTCCTTGTATGGACTTTGTCACGCTAGCCCTTTTCACGCTGTTGTGGATGCATGTACAGTCCCGTTCGCCTCAGTCCTGAACCGTGCCCGCCCCAGGCCTGGAAATTTGTTGCCATTTCAGCTTCCCAAAAGCGAACTGGAATTGGAACAGACAGCGTTGCAGTTTCAGAGAAGAATTTCCAGCAAAGCAAAGAACGGCCACGAGGCTCCATAACGATACATAGTGGTGAACGTCTCGGGTAGGCGGAGAAAACTTCTCCTTGGATGCTACTGTTGCGGAAAGATCTGGTTGCCCAGCTTTGATTTATAATAAGTAGGAGATAACAACAGTCAATACATGCGCGAGTTACGCTACTCCCTGCAGCCTAAGCTACAGGGAGTTGAAAAGAGAAAAAAGATCGTTATTACATAACAACATGTTGCACAACAAAAAGGGGCTTTAGGAAGGTGCCCCCTGACATGGACCATAATTGACATGTATCCTTGATCTCCACAAACAAGGCATGCTCAGGCTTATACTTACTAGTATACTCGTTAGATTACTGATGGTGGTGTACCGTGATCCATCCAGTTCTTATTGCGTATTATGTAAATGTGGAATGTGTAAGTAACATAAATCCGTGAGAAGTGAATTATGTAAATGTATGTGTAACCCAAACATTTGAGAAAGTAAAACCAACGTTGAGCTAACAACAGCTTATTGCTTTTTCTTATATTTGAATTCATAAAGATCTAGGCCTTGTTTGGTATAGCTCCGGGGTGCTCCGGCTCCTCTTGAAAAATACTACTGTACCAACATTGTTTGGGACTAGTGTGGAGCCTCTATTTAAATCAACGACGAATGTTTACCCAACATACGTACTTACATAGTATACTCGTTAGATTACTGATGGTGGTGTACCGTGATCCATCCAGTTCTTATTGTGTATTATGTAAATGTGGAATGTGTAAGTAACATAAATATGTGAGAAGTGAATTATGTGAATGTGTGCGTAACACAAACATTTGAGAAAGTAAAACCAACGTTGAGCTAACAACAGTTTATTGTTTTTTCTTATATTTGAATTCATAAAGACCTAGGCCTTGTTTGGTATAGCTCCTAGGTGCTCCGGCTCATCCTGAAAAATACTACTGTACCAGGCACTGTTTGGAACTATAGTGTGGAGCCTCTATTCAAATCAACGACGAATGTTTACCCCCACATACATACTTACAAAGTATACTCGTTAGATTACTGAGGGTGGTGTATCGTGATCCATATGGTTCTTATTGGGTATTATGTAAATGTGGAATGTGTAAGTAACATAATTATGTGAGAAGGGAATTATGTAATGTGTGCGTAACACAAACATTTGAGAAAGTAAAACCAACATTGAGCTAACAACAGTTTATTGTTTTTCCTTATATTTGAATTCATAAAGACCTAGGCCTTGTTTGGTATAGCTCCTGGGTGCTCCGGCTCCTCTAAAAGATACTACTGTGCAACACTGTTTGCAACTATAGTTTGGAGCCGTTTCAGTTTTCTAGGTAAAAAAAAATAAGCTAGGAAGAAGAGGAGCCAGCGCAGCCACGATTTCTAGGTCCACCGGTGGTGTCTTCAACAGTTTTGGGAAAGATGGGGGGGTGGGGTTTCCTACTCCGAGATGATCAAGGGCGTGTGGTGAGCTCAGGGGCAGTGCGAGAAGATTTCCTACTTGATGCCTTCCAAGCCGAACTGTTGGGCTGCCTTGCAGGTCTACAGGTGGTCGTGAAATTGGGGATTACACGAATCACCCTTGAAGTGGATGGTACTCTGGTGAAGGAAGCAATTGAAACCAAAGCGTATAGGCTTGCTTTCGTAGGAGTCATCACAGAGATCAAACAGATTATCAGTGCCAATCTTAGCTCCTGTATTGTTTCTGTTTGTAAACATGATAGCAATAGACTCACACATGCTCTAGCTGCTTTTGGTTGTAATCCTGCCTCCTACTGCCTTATCGTGTAGTCCCCTACCGCTCACTACTATATAGAGACTAGTTTAAATTTTGTTTGATTGTGTTTTCTTTCCAAAATAAAATTGGATTTTTTAACCATCTAATCAGGACTCATCATTACTGATTCAACTCTATTAGGTAAACCCTAGCCCACCTTAGACACGCTCTGGCCTCTTCTTCTCAGCGCCGCCACCGTGAGTGCAAGTTCATCTCCAGCTACCCCCTCTACTGCTCGCCTATATATATTTTCTTCCTTAACCCTCATCATCGCAAGTTGTTGACTCCCCACTCTAAGTGTTGATTATCCTGTGCCTCCAGCCTCTTACAACAAAGAGCATGTTGATCCCATCCACCATCGACGACACTCTCATACACAACCGGACCATTATTCACCATCGCCAGGAAAGTTTTTTAGGGAGAGGGCTTTGGATCTCGGACCCAAAGCCCCCGTCCTACACGGTCTAATAAGCCCACCGAAGGAGTAGGCCAACGCATAAAACCTCAAACGTATATCTCCGTGGTATGAAATTCTCATGGTTTTCTCAGAATTTTGTGCCAATAGATCGGGAAGTGATGCATGCTGGATCACATGAGCTGTAGACATTGAATCACTTGAAACACATGTGATCCATAAGCCGTGTCGAGCCACAAGCAAGCAAGCAGAAATACGGACTCCACATGCGTTGGTGAAACAGTAGATCTCCTTTTTTGTTTTTGTTTTTCCCAAGGGGATCCAGAAGCTACATAGCGCAAATGCGTCCTTGGTCATGTCGTGAATCATGATCGCCCAAAAACACCCAGCTGAGCACTGCATCGACCACGATATGAAAGGTCCCCTCAGGCGATGAACGATGGCAACCTAAGATCTCTCGCTCGATAGGGGATCTCCTGTGAGCCAGGTAGCCTTACGTGAGTCGGCTGCTGCCAAGCCGGTCGGTCAAGTAGATAGCTCTGGCTTGTTTTCTTTTGCCCCATTTTTTTCTTATAAAAGGAAATTTTGGTTGGTGGATTTAAATGTGGTGAATAGAATTAGTTGATTGTAGGTTTTTATTACCAAGAATGTGTTTAGCTCTATTCAAATGAACGACAAATGTTTACCTCACATACATACTTACATAGTATACGTTAGATTACTAATGGTGGTGTACCATGATCCAACGAGCTCTTATTGCGTATTATGTAAATGTGGAATGTGTAAGTAACGTAAATATGTGAGAAGCGAATAATGTAAATGTGAGCGTAACACAAACATTTGAGAAAGTAAAACCAACGTTGAGCTAACAACAGTTTATTGTTTTTTCTTATATTTGAATTCATAAAGACCTAGGCCTTGTTTGGTATACCTTCTAGGTGCTCTGTCTCCTCCCGAAAAATACTATTGTAGCAACACTATTTGGAACTATAGTGTGGAGCCATTTCAGTTTTTTAGGTAAAAAATAAGCTAGGAAGAAGAGGAGCCGACAAAGCCATGATTTCTAGTGAAGGAAGCAATTGAAACCGATGCTTATAGGCTAGCATTCGTAGGAGTCATCACAGAGATCAAACAGATTATTAGTGCCGATCTTAGCTCTTGTATTGTTTCTGTTTGTAAACGTGATAGCGATAGAGTCGCACATGCTCTAGCTGCTTTTGGTTGTAATCTGCCAAGTGGCTGTTATAACACTTGGGAGGGGGTTCCTCGAGATTTCGAGAACTAAGTGACCAGCAATTTAGCTGGGTCATATGAGTAATAAAAATTCTGAAAGTTAAAAAAAAAAGGAAAAGGTTTGCTATATTATTTCACCATGTACTTTCTTTACCCAATATCAGTATAGAGTTAATTATTTATTTGTCGTTTGAAAATATTTTATTTCCAAAGTAAAATTTATAGGATGTCTACCCAACGTTTTGGATTTGACTCTACTAATATAAACCCCTCAATGCTATCACTACTATGAGCTTGAGCTCCTGCCTCCTCCTGTGAGAAGTGAAATATGTAAATGTGTGTGTAACACAAACATTTAAGCAAAACAAACATTGAGCTAACAGCAATTTATTATTTTTTCTTATATTTGAATTCATAAAGACCTAGGTTTTATTTGGTATAACTCCTGGGTGCTCCGGCTCCTTTTGAAAAAATATAGCAGCACTGTTCGAAACTATAGCGAGTTTTCGTTTTTGAGGTAAACTGGCAAGAAGGGGAGCCGTGGAGCCACAATTTCTGGGTCCACCGGCTCCGTGCTACAATGTTGTTGCAAGTGTCGGAGACAGAGCAGATGAGAGCCTTGCCAGTACGCGCAGGGTGGCAGCGGACGCGGCAGTGCAGTACTCGCTGTAGCCGGCAGGTGGAGGCTGAGGCGAGAGCGCTCGGTCGGCGAGGAGAAGTCAGATTGGATTTAGCGAGGGTGGCGACGACGGAGGACGTGAGGCACATTCATTAGTTGGTGTACGCATGCATGGATGGTGTATGTGTATACATAAAGTAGTTATGCAGTTCAACAGATTCTACCATGAGGCCGTAGTCGAAGAGCTGGATACCATTCTTGCCGAGGGACGGAGGCGGCGGCGAGCTGGACGCCAGGACGTTGCCGAGATGGCAGCAGAAGATCCGCGTCGTGGATGACGTCGATCGTCGCCATGGGTCATGGCAAGCATGCACACCATCACCGCGGGCGCGGCAAGAGGCACGATCGAGCAGTCGCGGCTCTAGCTGTCCAGCACAGCCGGCGGCCCGGCGCCGCCATGCGCCGCGGCCACGGCTCGCTGGCGCTGGAGAACGACGCCTCTAGCTGACCGTCGCGTTCTCGCCAACGCCGGCGTGCTCACCACCCGCCTGTCCCGTCGATGGCTCGATGACACTGATGATTGCACTGATTGTGTGGGATCAGTCCGTGACATGTTTAATTTGTATTGCTGCAGCAGCAACAATAATCGCGAGATCTTTTTGCTGCGTTGGTTGTGATAACTTATAACAATCGTCAAAGGCGATGCCTCGATCGAGCTCAATCGCCGTTTTGCATGTCATATGTTCTAGCCGTGGTCTATTCCGGTGTCACAGATGAGGCGATTCAGAAGCATCAGCAGGTAGCCATTCGGTCCTGCAGCTATCCAGTGAAACTGGAATGATATGTTTGCATGATATATAAATATATACGGAAATGCTCTAACCCAAGCGTCCGACGTCCGGACGCACCACTCTCTGCGCCACCCGCCCTCTGCGTCACCGTCGCCCGTGCCACCCCCACCCGGCCCTTTGTGCGCCGCAGCCCAGCTCCGCGTTACCAGCAAGCTCATCGTGACCTCCACGCGCACTGCCGTCCGTGCTGCCCCCACACCCACCCTTTGTTCGCCGCCTCCCAGCTCCGCACCGAGACGACGAGCACACCAGCGACCTCCACGCGCCGATGAGCCTCCATTTATGAAGGAACAGGTAGATATTTGCGTTGAAAGAGCATATTGCAAGTGTTTTATATCGATGTTGCAAAAATAAATTGGGGTGTTGCAAAAGTACATCGGGATATTGAACATGTTGCAATGACAAAATATGCATATTGCAAGCCTATGTTTCAGGTGTTTCAGACGTATGTTACAAATGTTTTATCTGGATGTTTCAAAATTAGATCTTGATATTGGATGTTGCACATGTTGCAATGGCTGTACATGCATGTTTCAAGCGCATGATGCAAGTGTTTCATCTGTTTCAGACATATGTTGCAAATATTTTATCTGGATATTCCAAAAGTAGATTTGGTGTTACACATATTGCTATGGCTATACACGCATGTTTCAAGTGTGTCATCTGTTTCGGACGTATGTTGTAAGTGTTTTATTTAGATGTTTCAAAAGTAGATTTCGGGGAAGCACATGCTGTTGTTGTTGGTGCACCGCCGTGCCGCCGTGGGTCACCATGCGTGCCTGCTGCTGGTGGTGGTGCGGCTGCATGCATGCGGGCACATGAAATATAGCGTCTCTTGATATTTTTTTAGAAGGGACGGTAAAAGCTTTGCCGCGATTTTTATTAGACGGAGAAAATAAAAATACAAAGGTTGGTCCAGTTTTTTGAGTGAAAACCGAGCAAAAAAAAAACACCAATTGGGAGAGTCCACCACTCATCCCGACCAACTTTTGAAAACACCATCCAAACAACTAACGACTTTACCTCACAACTTGCTCAACCTCAAGCCAACTTGGTCGAAAGCGACCCAACTAGCAACTCAACTAAACTCCAAACAAGAACCAACTAGCAAAAATAACTATCTCTATCAACCATCACCGAACACAACCAACGACGAGCTGCGACACCATGATGCTTTGCCCCGTCGAGTAAACATATTTGTTCCACAGAAGGCCTCGACCATCTGGTGTTGATGAAGCAACTCAGGTCAGAAAGAGGCCCAACGCTCAACTTCAATCCATCTGAAACACTACCAGATACTCTTGAAGATGTAGAACTCATATTCAGAAAAAAAAACCCAAGATCAACTTTGGTCTAGATGAATCACTTCTTGATACACCTTGAAACTGTGAATCTTGCAGTTTTGCGATCCTGATCAGCCGATCAGTTCATTAGAGTCCAGGCCCTAGGTATGTTTTTTCCTTATTCGTTTTTTAATCCAAATTAATTATTTGTATTGAATTTCAGTCGATTAGTTCATCAGAGTTTAGGCCCTAGGTATTTTTTCCTTATTTTTTAATCCAATTTTTTATAGAAAGGATGATAAAAGCGTTGCCGTATTTTTTATTAGATGATAAAAAAGCAAACAAAAAGAAGTATTACAAATATTTACACAGCCCGCCCTATGCCTGCTATAAGAACACCACCTCTCCTACTGAGCCACCAAACAACCAAGAACAGGACTCCAGAAGCAAGGCGAACGGGCGGGAACCACCAACAATTGCGGTAGAAGGAAAACCATTCTCTTCTCTACAACATCGCGGGGAATAGTATCTGCTACCGTCACCGGTCTGTCTGTCTCTGCTGTCAGCTGCCTCGGTGCGTGCTCACTGCTCAAATTGCTCAGGTGGTGTACAATATAGTGCCGTCAGGGAGAAATTGAAGGCATCAAGATTCAAGAGGGGGGCCCGGCAGGCTTCACTGACGATGATCCCCGTCCTCCATGCGCGATGAGCCTCTGTCAGCCACCGTCATGACCCAGCCCAGGAGGAAGATGAAGTATCCAGGGACCGGCCCAGAGAACGAAGGCCCAAGAAGCCGAACCCACGAGTCTATGGCGAGCAGTGGGCTTGAAGCGAACGCTTGCACGCGTGAAAGGGGCAGAGCCTCTATATTGAGTATAAGAGATAGGGAGAAGAAAAGAGATAACATGCGATTGTAAACATTGAACTCCATTTCCTGAACTAAGAACTCCTCCGTGCTCACCTCCTGTTCTTCTTCCTCCCCATGTCTGCCTTTTCCTTCCCTGATTCCTCCCAAACCTTACTGCTATCGCTCACAAGTGGTATCAGAGACACCGGTCCTCGGCATCGATCGATCGTCTGGAGCACCTTATCCATCGATTGCTAGAACTCCACTGGATTTGGTTGGTCTAACCCCAAATCCGATCTGTGAGCTGCAATTCAATTTGGGGATTCTATAATTCCAATCCCGGAGTCGCATTTTGTGGCGTGCGCCGCCGATCTGGATCCTGCCTCCCTTTCCACCCACGATCACTGCGCCCGTCTTCAATGCATTCGCGGTGCCATAGGTCCCGACCAGAAGGCGCTGCTGGCCGAGCTCGATAAGCGCTTCGCCGCCCAGGAGAAGCGATTCGATGGCCTAGAGCGGAAGCTCGATTCAACCGCGTCGTCGTCTTCCACCCGTCTGGATGCCTTGGAGTCTGCAGCCAAGGTGTTCGACGAATGGCACCCAGGAGTCGACGGCGTCATCAGGGACCTGCGCATCGAGGTCAACAAGCTCGCAACACTGAAGCTTGAAGTTGGGAAGATCTCCAAGTACATGGAACGCTCGATGGTGGACGGCCCGTCAGCGACTCCCGGGGTGTTCGCGACTGCGCCCGCCACCAAGTACGCTTCGGCTCCCCCGTCGCCATGCGCGTCGATCCACGACGCCAAGCCCGTCATCACTCCGAACTTCAAGTCTGCCGGCTTCGGCGACTTTCAGGCTGCCCCATGCCCATCTGTGGGATCTGTAGCCCCTCGGCCCAACGGGCACCGTGTCAAAATTGGGAACTGGGAAGGTGAATTCAGAGTGGTTACCACTCTGATTCCACCTCCCGGCAAGGGTACGTTTCCTTGCCATCCTCCTTCCCCTCATCCGTTACCAAGTCCTCCTCCACGCCCACCACCACCACGTCAACCACAGCCACACCCAGGAGGTCATTACGAGTCAAGCCATCAGGGTGGTTCTGGGGGCGGCCATACCGGCAAACTTCCCAAGTTTGATTTTCCTAGGTTTGAGGGGGATCATCCTAAGTTGTGGATCAAGCAAGCCGTTCACTACTTTGAACTCTATCGTGTTGAGTCTGTGGTTTGGGTGCAAGCTGCCACTATGCACTTTCATGGTGCAGCCAAACATTGGCTCTCTTCAGTTGAGGATTAACTCGAGGCCATCACTTGGTCCGATTTCTGTTCACAGTTGCTGTTGCGCTTTGCCAGGGATGAGCACGAGCTACTGCTGCGTCGCTTATTTCAGATTCGGCAAACCGGCCCTGTCAGTGAATATATAGATCAGTTTGTTGCTCTCGTAGATGACCTGAAAGCCTATACCAAGCACCTAGACCCACTCTATTATACTCAGCATTTTATTGATGGTTTGCGTGATGAAATCAAAGCTGTTCTTCTTGTTCAACGTCCATCCACTTTGGATACTGCTTGTGTGCTTGCTCAATTACAGGAAGAGGCGCTGGGACTCAACAAGTGGCCTACTCGGTGTTTTGATACATCACCTGCTTACAAGCCGGCATGGCCTGGTGCCATGGCTCTACCTCCACCGCCACCGAAGCTTGCTGATGGCGAGATTAAGCGGCTTCCCAATGCTCCTCATACCTTGGCTGAAGACAAGTTCAAAGCCTTACGGGCCTCTCCGCGCCGCCAGGGTCTGTGTATCCGGTGTGGCTCAAAATGGAGCCGTGAACACAAATGTTCAGAACTGGTGTAGTTACACTTGGTGCAGGAATTGATGGATATGTTTCCAGAGTCCGATGCCGCCGAGTGTTCTGATGATTCATCGCCGTCTGAAACTCAAATTATGATGCATCTCTCGGTGGCTGCGGCAGTGGGCTCAGCTTCCCCTAAGACATTTAGCCTATCTGGAGATATCCAAGGTCATCCTCTGTCTATATTGGTGGATTTCGATTCCTCTCATACTTTCTTGAATTCTGTATTGGCTCAGTCGCTCTCAGGTATCAAGGAACTTTAGTCCCTAGTTCAAGTACAAGTGGCTAATGGTGCCATTTTACAATGTACATCATTTTTGCCCGGTGCTTGTTGGTCTGTGCAAGGGTGTTCCTTTTCAACTGATCTCAAGTTGTTGCATATCTCATCATATGATATGATCCTTGGTCTAGATTGGCTGGCAAGTTTTAGCCCGATGCAAGTACACTGGGCTCAAAAATGGATCTCCATTCCTTACGAGGGTGCTACTGCTATGTTGATTGGGGACACTGTAGACCTGCCGGTGGGTTTCGTAATTCAACTCTGCTTGGTACAGCTTCCTGAGTCTTCACAGTCAGTCTATTCTCTGAACCCGGCTGTTTCGGCACTGATCGATGAATATGCCCATTTATTTGAGTCAGTTTCAAGGTTGCCTCCAAGCCGGCATTGTGATCACTCCATTCCCTTGGTGTCAGGAGCTCAACCGGTCTTCGTACGACCTTACCGCTATGCACCTCTTCTGAAAACAGAAATTGAATGGCAAGTCAATGATATGCTTCAGCAGGGCATCATTCAGAAGAGTACAAGTGTGTTTGCCTCTCCGGTTCTCTTGGTGAAGAAAAAAGATCAGAGTTGGAGGTTCTGCGTCGATTACTGTCAACTGAATGCCATCACAGTTAAGGGCAAATATCCTGTTCCTATCATCAAAGAGTTGCTGGATGAGTTGTCCAGGGCCGCTTATTTCACAACCTTGGATTTACAATCCGGCTTTCACCAAATCCGCATGAAATCTGGCGAGGAATTCAAAACCACCTTCCAAACCCACTTCGGGCAATTTGAGTTTTGGGTTATGTCCTTCGGCCTCACCGGAGCCCCGGGCACCTTCCAGAACGCTATGAATATAACTCTTGCTCCATAACTTCAGAAGTTCGCGTTGGTCTTCTTTGACGATATATTTATCTATAGCCGCAAATGGGAGGAACACCTCATGCATTTATGAGCTGTGTTTGAGTTATTGTCTAAGGATCAGTGGAAGCTAAAAATGTCAAAGTGCTCCTTCGCCCAAACCAAGATTTCTTATCTCGGCCATGTTATCAGTCAGGCCAGCATGGGTACTGATCCTTCCAAGTTGGAGTCTATTGCCTCTTGGCCTACTCCGAGCTCAGTCAATGAACTTCGTTCCTTTCTGGGGCTTGCTGGTTATTACCGGCGTTTTGGGCGCCACTTTGGAATCATTTCAAAGCCACTGACAAATCTTTTGAAGAAGCAAGCCCTGTTCGTTTGGACTTCTGATCACGACTCTGCTTTTCAGACATTGAAAGCTGCCCTATGTAAAGCTTCGGTGCTCGCTCTTCCAAATTTTGCCAAGCCCTTCTCAATTGAAACTGATGCATCTGAGTCGGGTGTCGGTGTGGTCCTCATGCAAGACGGTCACCCGCTAGCATTCTTCAGTAAAGCATTGGGGGCCAAGTCACGTGGTTTATCAACATATGAAAAAGAATTCATGGCGATTCTGCTTGCTATGCAACTGTGGCGTCCTTACTTGAAGTATCAGAAGTTCGTGATCCTCACCGATCATAAAAGCCTGACACAGCTCACTAATCAAAGACTGCATACTCATTGGCAGAAATGGGTTTTCTCCAAATTGCTGGGTTTACAATACCGTATTGTGTATCGCTCAGGTTCTAATAATAGAGCAGTGGATGCTTTGTCTCGCCACCCCTCACCTCCAGCTATTTGTGCAGCAGTAACCTCTCTGGTACCCTCCTGGGTATCTGTGGTGATTGCTAGTTATCGCGAGGACACTTTTGCTACTACTTTGTTGACCAAATTGGCTCTTGACCCAAAGGCCATACCTCATTATTCCCTACAGTCTGGCTTACTTCGTTATAATGTGTGGCAGAACCGTCTAATCTAATGTCTCTCAGGAGTGCTCATCTTCCATTAGACACTAAGCACCCAAAGGAGAACACTAAATTATATGATTCCGTCGAGCACACCCCAGGGGAGAACCCAAAAATCCACATTTTTCCATCAGGATCACAAATGAGAGAATAAAGCTTACATCATTCTTAACAGTTTCTTACATCACTTTTATTACAACATCAGAGTATAATAGTTATTATTATAACAACGGAATGTAATCATATTATCAGAGTTATGAACAATTTAATGTAACAACGGAATATAAACATGTGATTAGAATTATAGTAGAAATAATTATCTATTCATGACATGATGAAGCATTGATAGGTAGACTATGACGACAGATTATAAAACTTTTATTTACAAAAACATTTGGTGAGAGTTATAAATAAAAACTACAATCGCAGCGTAAGGAAATCCTCTCCGAGCCCACCAGGAGGAATCCACACACAAGGATCAGCTCTAGCATCCATCTGTCACCTGCAACAGGGGAAATAAAACCCTGAGTACTCAATTATACTCAGCAAGACTTACCCGACAGGAGAAAAGAAAAGACTCCAAGGATATACAATGCTATCTGGCTTGTGGGTTTATTGCATCTGCGGGAAGCATTACTAAGCGTGCGTCCTTATATTCGATTTTTATTAATAGCCGCATTGATTCATTAACTAACCATTCTATGTAAACACATGTGCTACTTTCAAGCAGGTGGTGAGCAATAAGATTTCCTTTTTCCATCTTCCATTTTTCATCTTTCAGTTCTTACTACGATGCTAAACTATAGACAAGCCGTATCGGATTTCCAAGCGATTCACGAATCAATGCCTCCAGCTGGGTACCCCAAAAACACACGCCCCGCTTGTACCCAAGGCACAAGTAGGACCAACCCATCACCCTCCTATCCTAGGTGTCCAGATCCCCGTCCAAACTGGGACTCCAAGCCCCCGCCCTTGAGTCCCGGACTCAGTGCGGTGCAAGGACCTCCTAACCCAAAAACCACCCTGACAGTCGGTCCGAAAAGAGCCAGATCCATAATAAGAGAGCAACAAATCTTCCAAGCGTCCATACCCAAGTATGTGCTCGGGATAATAAGTCTGTGACTTGCCTAGAGCCTTATGCAACGGCCGGTCCTTAATCGACACAGACAGGGAAAGCAGTTTAACCAAGCCATGCCTCGCGTCCACGGCGACACAACCTCTTACATCCACCAATGCCCAAACCATATCCCTGTCCGGTCACCATTTTCCTTTTCACCATTTTTATATATTCCACGTGATAATAATCCAATAATATATTTTCTATCTCTCGCGAGTGACAGTCATCACTCGACTTCTACCGGAGTCCTGTAGCATAGCAATCTACACGATCCTATCATACTAGTAAGACTCATATGATATATATATATATATATATATAAGTGGATTTCATTCAATTCCTAAAAACTTAATGCATAAATATAATTTAAAGTGCAGAAAAGTTGGGGTTATGCACCGGAGCTTGTCTGGGTAAGATATAGATTAAAAAGTTAGTATCCGCATCTTCAGATCATCCACCGTCATCTGAATAGAAAACCTATTGCATCATCTCCTGAAGAGAATACCATTACCCCATCTTTGGATTCCCAATCATCCTTCAATTGATCCGTTAATCCATCATCGTACCTATATGATATGCAATGCGATGCAATGCAAAGACGTAATTAATCGACTGCAATCATGACTCGGTAAAATATGATTTACGCCTCTCAAGTTAACGAGCTAGTTCTAACAACGACCGTACTTAGACTACATATCCATGTTGTCGAATAAGATGTTATTTCCCAACAAATATTTTAGTTATATAAACCCAAGTTGTTTCTTTATTTCATTCTATCGATTTAATCATTATTCAAAATAGGGCACCATTATCTATATAGCAACTAATTATTCTGGTGCTATATAAATTATAGTGAGTACATAATATTGCTAGGAGCCTACTATAAAAAATTTAGATCCAACACTATTACCAATTTACCATAACAATCCCTACAAGTTTACAATTTTAACAATATTAAGCATGTTAAAATAATTAGAGCAACTCTAAAAACATTCCGACCTATGCGAACAAAATACACTATTAGGTAGATCATGATTTTAGAAACTTAACAAAATTAATTTCACAATTTTTGGATAGCTACACAATTTTATATTGATTTTACAAGTTTGTTTCTGAAACTAATTAACACTTACTTTTATAAAACTAAATGGCTAGCGGCCACCTATTCGGCCCAACGTGCAAATCCAAGCACGCGCGCCCTAGGCGCGACGGCAGTCCAACAGTGCGGCCCGGCCCACGGCGCGCGTGCGGCCTACTGGCTAGGAGCGGCCCAGCAGAGCAGTCGGTGGCCCAGCAACCAATCCTCCACGCGACGCAGTAACGGGCACCGGCGGCCCAGCATGGCGCGGCAACAGCGCGGGCGGCCTAGCCAGGCGGCACGAGGCCGACCCAGGCGGGCGAACACGCCCCAACGCGGCGCGGTGGTGGCCCAGCAGGCCAGCCCATGCGCGGCCTACCCACAGTGGGTGCGCAACAACGCAAAAAGAACCCTGAGCTTACCTGAATTTAGCTAAGCCCTTATTTGTAAACATATGAGTCAAGCGCTTTTGCGAAATGAACCTGGTAAAGAATCCTATTAGCGATTGAGTACACCTACTACCTTGAAACAGAGAACGCAGAGCAAAGGAAGTACTCCGCCGGTTGATGGATGGCTCACTGGCTGCGGTGCGGTCGCGGGGCGGCACGGGGAGGTGCGTGAACCATGGCCGAACCCGGGCCTGGCTGCGGCGCGGACCGAGGTGGTCCTGCCACGAGCGCTGACGACCGGCTGGCCGCAACGACGGCGGCGGGCAACAGCGACGACACGGATGTGAAGCGGCTCAGTAGCGAGGGCACTTCGGGGCGCGGCACGGAGGTGAGGCAGTGGCGCTGCGGCGCTGGCAGGGCATCTCCGGGCGGCAGGCGGCTGACTTGGATGAGCAGCGTGCGCTCGCGGTGAGCCTTGGCGGCGGAGGGGGCGCCGGCGCGCGGGGAAGTTGCCGTGGTTGCGCTTGCTGGCGACGACCGACGGTGAGGCTGCAACGTTGTTGACGGTGCGGCGAGGAGGGGCGCAACGTGGAGCTCGACGCTGCAGTCGTGGCCGTGAGGGCATGCGCGCTCGCGCGCACACGCGAGGACCGAGTGGTGGCGGGGCACTGCGGCTGCTGCGGGGCACGAAAGGGGCAGCGCCAGAGCGGTGAAGGGAAAGGGGCGGCGCTGAGAGCAGCAGGCCCAGCGCGGCAGCAACGGGGCTCGGGCGTGGCATGGTTGGGAGGAGGAGCGAGGCGAGGCAGAGTAGCGAGGCGTCGTGCGGGCCGTGGCAACGGCGCTGCGGCGGTGCAGAGGAGAAGCAGCCTATGGGGTCACCGAGCTAGCACAGGTGACGAGGGACCTCGCTGCAGCCAGCTTGGATCCGAGCAGAAGCAGTAGCGTCGAGTGGAGGCACCTGAGAAGGATGTGCTAACGGACGAAGAAGGGGAGAGCGACTGAATGACCGGATAAGAATCGCCTCTGATTTGTTCCCGTTATTGCTTGAGAGAAGATACAATGGAGAGGACAGATTAGTACTCTGCTACTTGGGTGACGAAAGAGGGACAAGGGTGGGGCAGGGCAGCACGGCACCACGTGGCCGGCAGTGGCGTGCCTGCGTGCGCACAGGAAGGTGAGAAGACACGGCGTGACAGGGATTCGGCAGCAGAAATAGAACAGAGAGGAGAAAAACACCATGATTTGGCCAACTCTCATTAATGCAGGAGCAGCGCGGCAGCAACAAGGACGGTGCATGCTCCACACGTTACGGCACGGCACAGAGGCAGACAGCAGCGGCAAACAAGGACAATCAGACACAGAGCAACACGACGCGACGCCATAAATCAAATGATTGATTCACCACCGTACGTACAAAAATATTTCCTCCACGTAACACTCTCATTCCTATTTATTTTATTTTAAGTTTTAACACGATTAACTTCCATCAATAATTATTTCACGCAAAAGTTCATACTTCGCACTAACCCATAGAGACAAAATATTTAAGCGCTATTTAATTACTTTGCTCAATATAGTTTGCCAAAATTGGTATTTTAAACATAAGCTCAAATATTTTAAATTTTAAAATCCGAGAAACTCGTTCCGAAAATTTTTCTTAGGCCTAAATCTCGGTGCTAAACATGATCGTAACACCAGGGTGTTACATAATGGCCGTGTCTGGATTGGAGACGACCCGGCACTCCACCACCAGCTCATTGCCCAATTTCACTCCAGCTCTTGGGGCGGACATTCTGGAATACCAGTGACATTTATGAGGCTGAAGCAATGTTTTGCCTGGCGGGGTATGAAAACTGCGGTAAAAGAGTTTGTGCAATCCTATGCTATATGGCAGCAATCCAAGTTTGATCGCTCCAAATCTCCAGGCCTATTGCAGCCCTTGCCGGTTTCTAATTCGGCGTGGCAAGTGATATCAATGGATTTCATCGAGGGACTTCCATTGTCTAATACATTCAACTGTGTGCTGGTTATGTTGATCTGCTGACCAAGTATGGGCATTTCATTCCCCTCCGACACCCTTTTACAGCTGCCAGCATTGCCAAGTCATTCTTTCAGAATGTTTATCGCTTACATGGCCTCCCGAGCTCTATTATTTCTGATCGTGACCGCATATTTACCAGTCACTTTTGGTTTGAGCTTTTCAAGATGGCTGATGTGTCACTCTGCCGAAGCACCGCCTATCACCCCCAATCCGATGGTCAGACGGAGCGGCTTAACCAGTGCCTGGAGACCTATTTGGGGTGCTATGTCCATGCATGCCCCAACAAATGGAGTCAGTGGTTGCCATCTGCAGAATTATGGTACAATACATGCTTCCATTCGGCCATCGGTCGTTCACCCTTTGAGGCGTTATATGGATATCCGCCACGTCTACTGGTTGTTGACCCTTCTGTTGTTTCTCATCCGGAGGTGACCATCTGAGCTTTCGACCGTCAGTGGATGGACCAGCTCCTCCAACATCACCTCAACCGGGCAAAACATCGGATGAAGAAACAATCTGATCAGCATAGGTCGGAACGCAACTTTTCAGTTGGTGACTTCGTTTACCTAAAACTGCAGCCGTATGTGCAAACTTCCCTGGCACCTCGCTCCCATCAGAAGCTCACTTTTCGCTTCTTCGGCCCATTCAGTATCCTGACTCGTGTCAGTTCTGTGGCCTACAAGCTTGAATTACCTGCTCAGTCTGCCATTCACCCGGTTTTTCATGTTTCACAACTGAAGAAAACCAGTTGGCGCCGCTCATCAGGTAATCCCAACCCTGCCTTCTGACTTTGCCATCCATTTGGCTCCAGAACAGATTCTGCAGACCCGCACGGTGGCCCGCGGGACTTCTACTATCCCTCAGGTGCTTGTGAAGTGGAACAACCTGCCGTCGGCTTTGGCGACATGGGAAGACTTTGAAGCTGTTCGACGGGAGTTTCCCAGAGCCACTGCTTGGGGGCAAGCAGTGTCCCAACGGGGAGGGGATGTCAGCCACTGTCATGACCCAGCCAGGAGGAAGATGAAGTATCTAGGGACCGGCCCAGAGAAGGAAGGCCCAAGAAGCCGAACCCACGAGTCTATGGCGAGCAGTGGGCTTGAAGCGAACGTTTGCACGCGTGAAAGGGGCAGATCCTTTGTATTGAGTATAAGAGATAGGGAGAAGAAAAGAGAAAACACGCGATTATAAACATTGAACTCCATTTCCTGAACTAAAAACTCCTCCGTGCTCACCTCCTGTTCTTCTTCCTCCCCACATCTGCCTTTTCCTTCCCTGATTCCTCCCAAACCTTACTGCTATCGCTCACAGCCTCCTGAGGTTCCTGAGATGCCTCTGCACAGTGCGGCGGGTGCGCACCCTGATGCCCCAGATGGTGAGCCTGAGCTTCTTCAACTGCACGCCGATCCTTGCCTTCACCCTCACCAGCGCCGTCGGCGGCCTCCTAGACCTTGCTGCTGACGACGACGACGTCGCCTCCTCCAGCACCTTGTGGATCAGGAACTGCGCCTTGATGTGCCACGCCTCCGCCGCGTACATCTTATCCAACTTGTCATAGGCGGGTGGCGGCGTAGCTGCACTCGCCGGCAGCATCTTAATTTTCGATCGATGGCGTGGAGCGTGGTGGCCGTCGGGCGGTGACGAGATAGGAGGGGACCAAGACGAAGGAGCTTTTCTTGCACTTGCACCTGCCTGTTGGACACTTGGACCGTTGGACGTGTGTGCTGTTATATATAATCAAGCTACATATGAGTTGTATATAACCATATTTCATTTCTGCAGCTGCAAGTTTTGTGTCCCTCTGAAGATTGCGCGAAGGCTCTGTTCGCTTGAGCTTATCAGCCGCAAAAACGATGCATAACACGGTTCAATCATTTGTGGACCATACTTTTGTCACATGATCACATCCTTGACACCTTTATCTGCGTCTCTTCGATGAGAAACAGAGCCGCTCCCGTCTCTGTCCATGGGTTCAAAATTCCAACTCGTACGAATAAAGAACAGATGATGAGCTCTCTCACCGTGATTTCCCCAGTACACGCAGAATTTCGTGCTCTATGTGATTTGAAAGGATCCTGTACATCTTGCAATCTTTTTCGCCTTTGGTTTGCTTTTTTGAGGATAGTATTCCCACAATTTTAATATATACATCCGTTTCAAAATAAACATACATCTCGCTTCACGAGAAGTCTAGCTCTTTTAAATTTAACTAAAAATAAAAAAATAGTATCAACATTTATATCTTTAAATAAAGTTTATTATTATATATGTAAGTATATATTCTATGCTCAATTTAATAATCCTTATTATATATCATAAATATGACTATATTTATATATATATTTGGTCAAACTTTGAAAGTTTTAACTTCTAATGAAGCGAGATCTGTGTTTATTTTAGGACGAAGGGAGTATAATACAACCGTTTGATACTACCACATGGTCTTCAAGATTTTGGCACATGATTTCTAATATTACAATATTTGTAGCAACAAATACAATGACGCCATTACTTTTACATAACAAAAATTTACATCCTGTGAAGCTGATTGTTGGTTAAATATCACGAGGTTTAATTTGAATCTTTAAATACATGCACATTTGGTTAAAGTAAAGAGTAAAATATATTTTTTGAACCACTAAATTGTACGTCAGTTTTGACTTTCAACCATGAATTAGAAAACCAGGTAATGGACCCCTCCAACTATCAAAATCGAACAAATTTGGTGGCTTATGATTGGATTTTTTTTAGCAGAGCTTATGGTTGGATGATTTTGTCATTTCGCGCTGGGCTACAATAGCAAGGAAACTACTCTTTTATTGGGCCGGCCCACCAACTAAAATTAAGGCCCGTGCCTGACCTGAATTTTGCTCTTGGTGGGCTATGTTCTGGAGACAAGAGTAGCTATGCGTTGGTACATTTCTGAATTGCGTGGTCTATCATTGCAGTTAGCGGTGGCAGAAGTGAGAGCCACTGAAAGATCAATTTCAGACTAGATGAGCTAGCAGAAGCTTATTGACTCTTCATCCACACCTGATACCATCGATCACTCCTTGCTTGCGAGAAGAGGCAGCCTTGTGTCGTCCCACTTGTCTAATCTTTTCCGCGCCTCCTCGACCTAAAACATTCAGATGTAAAAAAAAAGATAGATAAACTACAGCACAAACAGAATTATTGCAAAACGCAGAGAAGAGCAATTAGACAGCCGAAATGACCACATAAGCATGAACTTCTAAAGAATAACTGCTCTAAGTACCGCATCGGAGCATGTGGATCAAGTCATGAGATGAACTCATCAGCATGTGAGGTGGATTCGAGGATCATCTGTCAGTGACACGACACGGTAACCAAGGAATTTTAAGGTGGCTTACCTCCTTGTTCCAGTCAGTTCTTAACGTGATCCAGATCAAAATGAGTGTTTGGATGAGGGTACCCCCAATCATGCCTCCCCACAATCCCTGCAACACAAGACCCTTTTTCAGACTTGCGTGTGGGTTAGGGACAACTACTCATAACCATTTTCAGTTATAGTTAACTAAGCAGATTTAAAATGTGACAGCATATTCATCAGAATCAAAAGTACCTTGATCCCAAAGTCAAACTTGAATCCGAGGAGCACGCCGAGGGGTATGCCGATGAAGTAGTAGCATCCAATGTTGATGTAGGCAACCGTCGCTTGCCACCCACAGCCAACGGCCACACCTTCCATCAGTCGTCCAGTGAGCAAAAGTTCAGTACCAGTGGGAAGAACAACAAACACATCACTGAGAAGGTGAAGGATCCCATGTAATATAATGTGTTGGCTCAAAGATTAATAGCCCGAATAAGTTTGTTTTTCCAGTGAATTAACTTATGTAAAACTCAAGTAACTCTTGGATTAGTCTGAAGTCTCTGAACTCTAAAGATGCACCAAAGCTTCAGTTTGGAAAAGGAAAACCACCTGACAGCACGGGCTGGATCCCGCAGAGCACGATGGTCCCGACGAGCAGCGGGCACAGGTCGGCGACGGCGCGCGAGACGACCTCGCCGCCGGTGAAGATGTAGCTTAGCTTGTCCCTGAGCAGGAAAGTGACGAGGCCAGCTATCCCTGACACGAACGCCGACAGGGCGGTGACCATCCATGCAGAGAACGCGGCAGACCTGGGGTTGCCGGCGCCCAGCTCATTCCCTACCCTCACGCTGCAGTGCAGATCAAACCTCTTAAGATGAGAGAGCTCAGACAAACAGATTCTCCCCTTAAAAAACAGATTCTTGACATGGAGAAAAGAAAACTATTTTTTGTTCCAAAAATCTGGTGAGTTGAAGCGGGAAAAGAATGTTTAATTCAGTGTGAAGTATTTTGCCAGTAATAAGTAATTTAAAATAAAGAAGAAGAAATCATCATGTGCCTCAATTAAGGCAATGCACGGGGTCCACTGCATATTCTCGCCGCAGGTGTGTTGTTGTCGGTGAGAAAGTGACGGGATACGAACGCCGACAAGCGGTGACCATCCATGCAGAGAACCGAATGCCTAGATTGCTCATTCCCTACCCTCACGCTGCAGTGCAGATCAAACCTCTTAAGATGAGAGCTCAGACAAACAGATTCTCCCTTAAAAACAGATTCTTGCATGTGAATGTGAATCTGTGAGTTGAGCGGGAAAACTGTTTAATTCAGTGTGAAGTATTTTGCCAGTAATAAGTAATTTTTTAGAAGAAGTGTGTCCCTTTGAGTACTGATTAGTGTGTTCTTGCCGGTTAGGACATGGAAGATGGAAAAGAGTCCAAAGTCTGGTAATAATCACATAGACATAGCCATGGTCCCATGGCATATGGACTCGGCAATATCAAGGCCTCAGGGGCAAACTATGGCATGCTGAAGGTCTTAACAGTCACAGACTGAGACCCAACAGTACGTCGAGGTACTGTATAATGTCGGTTTCATTTTCAAGCAAAACTCAATCCGTACTGTGTAATGTCAACTCAATCTTATATAGGCCCCGAAAACGTGAACAATACAGGGAGAAGAGTGCAGATTGCAGAGTAAACCAACCTGGCAGCTGCATTGAAGCCCACAGAGATCATGAACACCCATGACTGGATCGACGTGCTGCAGACAGAACATTGACATGGACAGAGCGGCATTGTGAGTTGTGACTCAACTCTCAACTCTACCAGTAAATTTCCGGCATTGTAGCTAAGCTAATTAAACACTAAAAATGACCAAGCAGTAACAGTAAGTAATTACCCACCAGACCGTGAGCGAGTCGAGGGCGATCTGCGGGTCCGGCAGCATGCCGGCGAGGAGAATGAGCACCTGGAAGTACCAGACCTCGAGCGCCAGCATGACCGCCGACGCGGCGGACAGGCCGGCGAACCCGGGCAGGTCGGCGAAGGCGGCCCACGTGAACCCGGTCCAGGTGGCCCGGCAGCGCGGGCTCCAGACGATGTACGCGAACTGGCCCGCCACGAGCACCCACCACGTGAGGCTCAGCGTGAGCGAAGGCCCCGAGCAGGCCCAGGTCCAGCCCGTAGACGGCGAGCCAGCTCAGCGCCACGTGGAGCGCGAAGCTGGCCGCCAGGATGTAGGCGCTGGGCGCCACGATGCTCTGCGCCTGCAGGAACTTCTGGATCGGGAAGTTGGCGGCGTACGCGAAGATCTGCGGGATGAGGCCGTAGGCGAACTCCGCGGCGGCGCCGGCGATCTCGGGAGACTGCCCCAGCAGCAGGAGCAGCGGCTCCGAGAGGGCGTACATGGCGGCGAGCGGCACGCCGGTGGCCATGAGCAGCACCGTGGAGCGCTGCAGGTACACGCCCAGCATCTCGTACTTCTCCGCGCCGTACGCCTGCCCGCACAGCGTCTCCACCGCGCTGCCCATCCCCAGCTGCACGCAATGCACGGCCATGGCCAAGTCCGTACGTAGACAGAATCATTCGTACGTACACACGAGACGAGACTTTATATACGTATATATATGCGGACTTGGGACGTACCATGAGGCCGTAGGCGAAGACCTGGATGCCGTTGTTGCCGAGGGAGGCGGCGGCGAGCTGGACGTTGCCGAGCTGGCCGCACACGATCTGCGTGGTCGACGACATGACGATGATGAGCATGTAGACCACCACGGCCGGCGCGGCGAGAGGCGCCAGCAGACGCAGCTCCAGCGCCGTCGCAGATGCCATACGCCGGAGCCATGGCTCCTCGGAGGCGGCGCCGGAGAGCAGCGCCTCCAGCCGGCGGTCGACGGCGCGGTGGTCGTCACCCGTCCGACCCATCGACTCACTGATAGGTGCAGTACGCAGCTGCGGCTGTAGGAGTAGTTGCAAGGTTCTTTTTGGTGTCTCTCTGACAGTCTGACTCTCTGTGTGACTTGTGTCATCAGAATCACATCAAAGAAAGGGCCAAAGGGTGATGTGCATGTGCCACGCTTTCGGTAGTGCCATACTGCCATGTTAGGTGAGGAGTGAGGACAACCGCAGCAGGTGAAAGTTGAAAACGCTGCTTCTAGCCTGCTAGTACGTCTTTCTCAGACTCTCTGAGCTTTCCTTTGTCGTGTACCGTCCGAGAAAATAAGTGTACTTCTGGTACTCTTGACTCCAGAAAAAAAAACGTAATTTTAGCTCTTAACCTTAAACGGAGGGAGTACTTACGAAATGCAATTACGGTCAAACTCTAGTAAAAAATGGCTCTTTGCAAAACATCCGCAAGAGACGAAACCGTTTTTTATAGAGGAACCGAGCCAAGAAAAGTAATTTCTCCTAGTTCTTTCTCACAAACATAATACTATAAGTTATTATAAAATTACCATTAGAGCAATCTTTGCCAAATATTTTTCAAACAGCTTCATCTACTCCAAATGAGCCGAGGAGGGAATCCTACAAAACGAGGCCTATATGTTGAAACAGTTTTGATAGGGTAAGTATGTAATTTCCATGTTACACCGATCTTCTCTAAAGATCTTAAAAGTGTATTTATTTTAGGATATAGAGAGTACAAAAATAGTATGGCGTTTTTGTTTAATTTCGAATAGTTACAATATTTGGGACGTCAACAACGATTCACGAATGCGTCCGTTCTCAAGCAATTTGCTGGGTGTCTGAAATGTTTTGTTGCAGAAGGAAACTTCAGGGTTTCTTTTCTTTCCGTTTGAAAACGCACGAGTAGTAACTTCTGTGTTAACTATCAAATCATTCGACAGGTACGAGTAGCTCCGTAGCAGGGAATCTTTGCTTTTGTGACCACTGTCTCGGTGCCATAGTACCATCTCACACATGGACCAGTGCGCTCTGTGCGACCTCATCATCATGGATGTGTCCCATTCTGAATGGGTTTTCCGGGTGTTCTACTACTAGGTTCATTGCTTCATTGGTCACTGCTAGTACCGCACTATCAGGGATTGTATGAGGATCTCCAACAATATAAATTAGAAAGTTAATGCTAGTTCTAAGCTGTTAAACGTAGAAGAAAAAACAGTTGCATTTATATAATGTTGTGTGAGAGAGGTGCATTGTAAAGAATTCATTCTAGCCCCTTATCCTGCTAGCTCTAGACTATAGTTAACTAGATCATTGGAGACATTATAACAATTATGCTACTTGTCAGCGAGAAAGATTTGTATGGAGTATTGTGCATACTTGTCATGTTTCATACGCGAAGTGATGGTATCATGCCTAATTATGCTACTTTTGTCATAATTAATCTAGCGTATTTCTAAATTAAAATAATATGAAAACTGCTAAAATATTTCACACTGTCACTAATTATTGTTACTCTCTTGTACGTACTCGTAGTTGCGGTTACCAAGATCTTAGAGTTCAAAAAAAAATTAAGCTTACAAGATCTGTAAGATTCCTGCCACAACTTGCAGAAGACAATGAGTATCTAACATAAAGTACATCAACTTCACAGGAGACTGGAAGACAAACATAGCAAGTACCCCGTACATATTCGTAGATTCTTATCACAACCAAACCAAGTACACACTCTCTGTTTTTTTTTCTTCTATTCAACTCCCTACAGCTTCAGTTGCAATGCTGTGTTTTTGCTTCTCTCCAAGGAATTCCACTATATATCACATCTCCTAAAAATGTGTATAGGAGATCTCCCATCAAACATCTCTCCTATTTTTCAATATCTCCTCTAGCAGCAACAGATTAATCAACCCTATTAATACACCATCTTTTCTTTCCTACGTCCACACAACGAAAAAGACCCCCACTGAGATGTCCCCTCTAAATCCACCCCAAAAAATATATCCAGAAAAACAACATATTTTAAACGAACCATTCAGATACACTCTAAGCCTTCTCTCCTTATTCATTACACAATCGAGGGCCTAAATTGAGTGTATCAAATCTTCTCATTCTCCCCACACCCACGTCATGCAGCCCGACCGAGTATTAAGAATGCCAGGTCGCCGAAAATCACGGAACTTCCGGACACGCACGGAGGCGGAGGAGGCGCTGCTACTCCTGCCGCGGTCGGCGGAGGAGGCGAGTAGGCGGTGATCACGCGCGCGGCCGCCGAGGTTGTCGCGAGCGAGGATCAGGGTGCACCGGCGCCGTCGCATACGTCTCGCTCCTGCCGCGATCGTCGTCTCCCGCGGCCGCTACGATCGCGCGCGCGCCCGCCGCTGGCTTGCTGCGGCAGAAAGTTACGTGTATAAAATACTCGGTCCTTATCTCTTCCTCATTTCCCTCCTCATTTCTCTGTCCTCAGATGTGCGCCCACGAACGCATCGGCTCGCATGGCGGTGGCTGGCAGCGGCGGCCTCCTGCCCGTGCTTCCCAGGCGGCGGCGCGGGGCGGACGCGGCGGCGCGACGACGCTGCGGCAGGGAAGCGGCGGCGCGGTGCGGACGCGGCGCATCGTCGCTGCCGCCGTGCAGGGTAATCGAGCTATTGCAGAAATCCAGTTTGCGGACTATATCTTTCCAGCCTTTGATCAGGCATGTCTCTGATTTCTTCCATAATTATCTTACATTCTTACCAAAGATATTTTTTTCCGTCTCCCAGTTACTTGTACATTCAAAATACTTGCTCTGCTGGGCCACATGATATTATCTGTGTCCTAGGAAGTGTCTTATTTCTCTGTTCCAATTCCTTGTCGAGCTTTTTTTTCATTGTCAAATCTTTCTTATGCTGATTTTTTTTGCAAGGCTTCATTTCTTCAATTTGTTTATTTGAGCCTATTTATTTCCAATGTATATTCTTGCCGAATTCAGTGCATATATTTGTTTGATCTATGTTTTGTGCCAATCTAATTCATACATTTTTTTTTTGTTTTAGATTGTCAATGAAGCAGCTAAGTTCAGATATCGGAGTGGAAATGAATTTAACTGTGGAGGTATTTCTTTTCTCTCAGTGTCTTGAATGGCCTATCACGAGGAATCAGCCGGACTATTATAAGTAAATCATGCTGGACTTTCAATTTTCATTTGCATCTTTTGTAGGCTTAACAATTCGAACTCCTTATGGTGCTGTTGGGCATGGTGGTCACTACCATTCACAGTCACCAGAGGCTTTCTTCTGTCATGTTCCTGGACTCAAGGTTAAGTTTGTGGCCCTACCAGAATCCCTCTTCGTGAACTATTATCCTTTCCAGGAAAATGTGAAATCAACATTTTCCTAAATGGATCCACCAAAAAAAGACATTTTCCTGAAATGCATACCTCCTTGATATTTTTCTGAACATGTCTTCAACTGTATGAGCAAGACTTGGTTGATACAGTTCAATGAATATTACTATCTGAGAAGAAACATAAAACATACACCTCAGAATATTCGCTAAGAAAGTGAAGGCCTTTCAGGTTGTCATACCGCGAAGTCCACGTGAGGCTAAGGGGTTGCTGTTGGCTAGCATTCGAGACCCAAATCCAGTTGTATTTTTTGAGCCAAAGGTGAACTTTAAACATTCTGAGCTCTAGAAAAGCTTCATCAGAATCCCTGCTGTACTTTTCTGAGACTAAAACTACCTTTCCTCTCTTTCTGTAGTGGTTGTATCGTTTGGCTGTTGAAGAAGTTCCTGAGGAGGATTATATGCTGCCCTTATCTGAGGCAGAAGTGAGTATATTTGTATCACATCATTGTATTGTATTCGTCATCATTAAATCAAACTACTTAGGCAATTTCTGTACTCTAGGTGATTAGGAAAGGAAGTGATATAACACTTATTGGCTGGGGAGCTCAACTTGCAGTGCTGAAAGAAGCTTGTGAAGATGCTGCAAAGGTCAGTTATTTCCATAATTCTTAGACAAAATTTCATTAACGTTCCCAAGCTGATATATATGGAAAAACCTGCCTTATTATAATTTGTGGTGAAGTCCAACAAAACCAAAATATTCCGTTTTGTTTTGTCTTGAGTCAACAGTGGCAAAGAAAGGTTATTACTACTTGATAATATTATCACATATTTACTGATACTGTGAGTATAGCACCAGATGAAACACGTAGTTGAATGCACATTCTCATCTAGAAAGACAGATTTTATTTTTAAGTACTAATTCAGATCAATAAAGAACCTGAAACTGAAATTTTGACTCAAACTGGCCATCCTGACATATATGTGATTTTGAAAAAAATATAGTGACAATTAATAGCAAGTGGTATGTCAGTATGTGTATTGTCCTCGTAGCTTCTTGATTGTTTCTGTAAATTTGATATCGATCTCTCCGTGGTGTTCCTCAGTTTTCCCTAGACTACAGCTGACACTACTATATGTCAGGATGGGGTAAACACTTATGCCATGAGGGTCCAATCACCGGGGGGTTCGGCGCAGAGATTGCTGCATCCATCACTGAGCGCTGCTTCCAGAGGGTAGTAAACCTTCCAGCTTTCTTACTGAATGGATGGATTATCTATCGAACAGGTATCTCTATCTCTACCCCTATAATACCTTGTTATTTATTCCTCTTAAATTTGAGTTCCCTTTGTTGCGTTGGTGTATACATTTGTTGAGACTGTGCTGGATACCTTGGTACTACTTCCAAACTTTCTTGAGGTTTTTTCAAGATGAAAGTAGGCGATCCAGCTCTCCTGGGGATATTGCTATTCTATTTCTTGCTTTTGGTAAACATTTTCCTTTCCTTGGAAGCATCAAACTTACTTACCTCAAAGTTGTGCAAGTTATTTGACAGTTGGTCTTTGTTGCAGTTCTCAATTTGGCATTTGCGCTGAGCCTCCTCTGTTTCTGTTTTAAATTTTTATATTTATCGTATGCTGATTAAAATATGTTGCCAACTGCAGGTTCAGATATGCTGTACACTGTTCAGCCTGTTGATATCCTAAGAAAGGCAAAAGTTATTGTTGCTCCAGCAAAGGCAACTGCTGCTGGTGGGGGTAATGCACTGCTGGTGTTGCTCAATGCATTGTGATATCAAGTTTCAACCTGCTTGGATCGGTTTCCATTTTGTATGGATGTTTAGGCGTGTCTAATTGGCTTCCTTGCTCTCTCCCAAAATTCTATGGAACTTGCTTCTTTGCAATGATGCTATCAAGATGGCCAGTTACATGCCATGGACACAGGATATTATTGCTCTATTTAACCTACCTTTTTTATTGGTTAACACTTGTAGACTTGTAGTGAAATCTGAAAACATGATAATCAGGTAAGAGGGTGACTGCTTTTTACAAGCTCTTTGGTATTGCAACTTTCTGAATATCTGCATAAATGTCAGTGCAAACAATTTTATAACTTTGAAACTTGCAAACTGGCGGAGCTCAAATTTAGTTTGGAAATGATGCAGGTTGTGTTGATTACCGATGGGCAACAGGCGATGATGCTACCAATGACACCAGCCTACTCCATCAGAGGTGAGATGAAGCTCCAAAATGCCAATTGCAACCTTGTAATTTTTCTTTTACATGAAAAAAATGGTGCTTTACTCAGCTTCCTACCACTTTGGTTGTTTCTTGGAAAAAAATATAGTTGTTTGGTTGTTGTCGTGTGCATCCTTGAAATGCTGCCGTTGCGTTAGCATGGGCATTATACTAGTTACTCATCACATCTACCCTAAAATGTACTCCGAGGCATAGGCCACCTGTCTGATTTTTTATCCCTCCCTTCCCCTCCTGATCACGTCGGTGCACCATGTAGGCCACAAAGGGACAAGGCTCAGCAGGCGACATAGCGTGCATTTTGGAATTTGGAGCACCGGCCGAAGTGATGCCTGAAACCCAAAAAGTCATTTCGGGCATCGGCTTAACACTACACTCTGAAGGGCCTTACTGTGTCTACTAATTGATCGGATTGAAATTAAATTAGTACTCCCTTTGTCCTAGAAAATTTAATGTTCTAAAAGTTAAAAAAAGACTACTAATTGAACTCATATCAGCTATATAGTGTGGTATATGCATGTCTTTATGCATTTATTTTAACAAGAGGTTTTAATTGACACGGTTCATCTTCAATAAATAGAGGTATGTGGATAATTTCTCGTGAGCACTAATTTATTCTAAAAATTCTTGAGCATTATACATAGGTAATTTCCATTGAACACTAATCTGTCCTAAAAATCATAAAACATTACTGTTTCAGTCAAAAACAGTGCACTTCTATGATCTTTGGAGAAGACCAATTCTACATGAAAAATACATATTTATATCAAACTATTTCAACATGTAATGATTGCACTTTGGAAGTAGAGAAGATAAAAAAATATATTAGGACTAGGTGAACCATATCTAGAAATACATTTATTTTTAAACAAATTTCAAATACTAGAAAAAACTGAAAGTACAATCGAGCCTTAATTGTGGATTTTGGTGATACTGATCTTGCAATTAGAGAACTAATGAGATTTATCGAGATGACTAGCAGGGAATTTATATTCGAGGATGCTACACGAAACGGAGGAGCCCCCAACTATAAATATAGATAGTTTCAAACTCAATGGAGGTTTAAATTCTTTTATATATTAAATTTGAATATAGGAAAAGCCGTACTATAAAGGGGGACACAATGTTTTAGCTAATCTATGCTACCAAGTGCTCAAACAACCACATGTATCCTCAGATTCACAGTTAAGGCAGTCTACACTTTACTATTATCCTTACTGTCTTGCGGGGTGTGAGCTCCGACTCGCCCGACCCCCCTTAGGTGCGGGCTCCGGTTCGTCCCGACCCCAAGGTCGCGGGCTCCGTCTCGCCCGACCCTTTGGTCGCGGGCTCTGTCTCGCTCGACCCCAAGGTCGCGGGCTCCGTCTCGTCCTACCCTTTGGGTCGCGGGCTCTGTCTCGCCCGACCCTTTGGTCATGGGCTCCGGTTCGCCCGACCCTTTGGTGGCGGCCTCGTCTCGCCCGACCTCAAGGCCAGACCTCGTCTCGTCCGACCCTTTGGTCACGGGCTTCGTCTCCTCTGACCCTTTGGTCGCGGGCTCTGGCTCGCCTGACCCTTTGATGGCGGCCTTGTCTTGCCCGACCTCAAGGCCGCGGACCTCGTCTCGCCCGACCTCTTGGGTGAAATGTGCGTTGGGGTTGGGGGTATATATACACTTTTTTTTTTCTTCCCAACGGTTATCTGCGATTTAAGTGATCGTTGAGGCCTTGGAGGTATATATACATTTTCCTTTCTTTCCCAACAGTATAAACAAATGAACCAACCTGCTCCCTTCTTCCTCACTTCAACACACTCAAAAGAGAGCGGAAGTTTCTCTCTCTCACTATATTGTTGACCTCAAGCCCCCAAGCAAATTCATTGATTTCCCCATCAATCCTTGAGGGATAAGGGTCCAAAATATGATAAGAGAGCATCTCCATTGATTTCTAAACTCTAAAGAGCACTTGGTTCACGTCTTAGCCGGTGGTTGTGTTTGTTACTCTTGGAGCTTGACTCTTAGCCGGCTAGAGCGTCGCCCGTGGAGCTTGCCAACTTGTGTGGGAGCCCCCGGAGGTTTGTAACCATATCTTGCAGTGAGTAAAATCACTCCTCATCTTAAGAGTTCACTCTCTTGACTTGGAACGAGGTAGGGTTGCAAATCCCTAAGCCTTAGTGGTATACCTCAACAACGTGGACATAGGCAAGCCTTGGTGGCGAGCTGAACCACGGGATAAATCTTTATGTCATCTTGTGCTTGTGTTGCTTCACTTGTGTTCTTGTTGTTGTTAATGTGATTTCTAGAATTGAGGCCGATCTACTTGTGTGTGATGTTTTCACCACTTTCAGCTGTTAATCTGTGATCTACCACTCTAGGAAGCTAAGAAATTTACCATATCTAAATTTCATTGGCTAGATTTTAAAATGTGAACTAATCTCTCCTGCATGTGCGGCAGTGTCGCGCTCACAGAGCGGTAGTGTTGCGGGTGAATTTGATTTCGGTTTAAGTTGAATTTTTACGGACCTATTCACCCCTCTCTAGGCATGCTAGAGATTAAAAAAATACTGATCTTTAGACATAGGGAGTAATTTTTTTCCACGCAGGGAATAAAATAAAGTACCATCGGCATGTTTTCTTGGTCTGTGCTGAAAGATTTTATAAAATTTTGCTTTACCCATTATTATGGACACATGGAGAGCACATGCAAAAGACAGGGACACAAACAAGAGAAACATTTTTTTTTTGCCACTCTTTACGGTCTTTTCCCTAGTAGTACCAGTAGGCAGTATTTGTACTAGTACACATCAAGTTCTGGCCCAGCTTAATGTGAGTCTTTTCGCATGGCAAATGGGCTTAGTTTGTCCTCTTATTATACCTGCGTATGTGCATGTGATGTCTTTTCGGATGGCCGAATGGTACTAAATTTTGTTATGTTAAAAAACGGAAACTAAAAAATGTCAAATACGTATAAAATCAAATACGGACGTCACTTTTACTGTAGTACTATTCTAATATCCCCAGATATTATTATAGATAGTTTGATTCGTGTTTGGATATCAATCTAAGATTATTGTCTATATAAGTATACATGCAATGGTTTTAGAAAACAAGTTAGATATGAGAGATTGAAATATACTCTCAATTCTAAATTGGAAGACATTTGACTTTTTTGGCTTTAAGTTTGACCACTCGTCTTATTTAAAAATTTTGTGTAAATATAATCAAATTTAAGTCATTCTTGAAGAATTTTTATTAATAAACCAAACCACGATGAAAGAAGTGATATTTTACACAAATTGTTGAATAAGACGAGTGGTCAAACTTTATATCAAAAAAGTCAAACGTCTTACAATTGGGATGGATTGAGTACTAAACTTCTATACATATACTTTGTAAATAATAAAAAAAATACATTGTTATAATAACTATATATACACATTATAAGTCATATTAATAACTATTATACTCACATTATTAGTATTTAAGATAAAACAAGGACAATTAATTACTTATAGACATAGCTTTTACTTTAAAAAAGGCATACCCAGTGTCGGAGGCTCCCACATGAGTTGGGTCTAGAAAAAAATCGAGGCAGACCTTCTCCCGTAAATTTACGGAGAGACTGCTTCGAACCCACGACCTGGTGACTCAGTGAGACCGCTCTCACCACTGCACCAGGCCTACCCTTCTTATATAACATAGTTTTTACTAATATAGATTATTAAAAAATATACTACGATCAGACGGATTCCGACTTTGAGGTGCGGACATCATTTTTGGGAATTGGTTCTACCATTTACCAAGCCAAACGACAATTGCCTGCAAGTGAGATATAAAATACTAACTTCACTCTGGCCTAGCCACCTATGAACTTATCAGCCCGGCTTATCAGTCATGATACAGTGTGAACTTATCAGCCCGGCTTATTAATCATCATGGTGCAGTATTTTTCTCTTACAACAAAACAACATCAACCGACTTATCAGCCATAAAAACTATCAGCTAAACAGCTCAAAAGATAAAGAGGCATGCAAGAGCAAGCAGCTTCCACGAAGGGATGGTCCCTTGGCTTGGGATTGGGGTAAGCAACAAACCTTGTGATCGCAATCCTCCATGAAACGGATATAAAAGACTACAAGTTGATAATATCACGGATATGAAAAAGGACCACGGCTGCTTATACTTATAGTCTTCGGGGAAAAGTTCTGAAGTTTAGCGATGATTTTCGGCCAAGTGAGTTGTGAGGTCCGTTGACATGACGGTGATTATATTTATTTACGTATACGAATCATAGATGGAGTGAACGGATCACGAGCTAGCAACTGCTAGTACATCAAACACAAGAACTTGTCAATTTCCCTGCGTCACAATGATAACTATATATACACATTATAAGTCATATTAATAACTATTATACGCACATTATTAGTATTTAAGATAAAACAAGGACAATTAATTACTTATAGACATAGCTTTTACTAAAAAAGGACAGACCCAGTGTCGGAGGCTCCCACATGAGTAGTAAGGTCTGGGAAAAAAAAAAACTGAGGCAAGTCTTTCCTCCGGAAATCTGTGAAGAGACTACTTCAAACCCACGACCTGGTGACTCAGTGAGACAGCTCTCACCACTGCATCAGGCCTGTCCTTTACATAGTTTTTACTAATATAAATTATTAAAAAATATATATAATTCAACTTTGAGCTGCAGACATCATTTTTGGGCATTGGGTCTACCATTTACCAAGCCAAACGACAAAGTGAGATATAAAATACTAACTTCACTCTTTGGCCCAGCCACCTATGAACTTATCAGCCCGACTTATCAGTCATGGTACAATATTTTTCTCTCATAACAAAACAACATCACCGACTTATCAGCCGAAAAACCATCAGCTGAACAGCTCATAAGATGAAGAGGCATGCAAGAGCAAGCAGCTTCCACGAAGGGACCATCCCTTGGCTTGCCATTGGGGTAAGCAACAAACCTTGTCATCGCAATCCTCCATGAAACAGATATAAAAGACTACAAGTTGATAATATCACAGATATGAAAAAGGACCACAACTGCTTATACTTATCTTCGTCTGAAACTTTACTGGGGTAATTTGAATTGTTGTAGAGAAAAAATTTTCGTCCAAGTGAGTTTAAATATGTGAGGTCCGTTGACATGATTTTCGTCCATGAGGTCCGTTGACATGACGGTGATTATATTTATTTACGTACACAAATCATAGATGGAGTGAACGGATCACCAGGTAGCAACTGCTAGTACATCAAACACAAGAACTTGTCAATTTCCCTGCGTCACAATGATATATACGACCCAAGAATGTTTCTATGGATTGTTCTTTTAAGTTCAATCCATCTTACCGTAGCTGCAAAATCCGGTCGCCATGCATGCGTGTAATTGTGGACCAAGTTATTTCGGATCATACTAATATAAACTGTTAATTTACTTGTCTACTACTGCTTTCTTTGTCGCAGTTCTCAATTGTCAAGCAACAATTTGGATTCAAAATTCAAATCTGAATTGAACAAAACGGAAAATCAGAGCGCAGCTACGGCCAAGGGCATCGTGTAAACATTTCTACTATCTTAATTAATACAAAAATTTGTCGATCTCGTGAGTATTCAATAAAAAGAAATAGAATTGAAAAAATTAAAAACACTTGACTTCCTTTAAAGTCAACACGGCCGAACAGAACTGTTCGTGCCGTGGAACAGAAGCTCTGTTGGAAAACCCAAAAAAAAAACTTAGCATTTGAAAAATCAATCCATATCTCAATTAATTTTAGTTAATCGACGACCAAAACAATTTTATCTTCCAAGAAAACAAATTCACGTACGTGGACAAGTGAACGAACGTGCTGGTGAGAACTCAGCAGATCTCTCTCCCACCGAGAAAATGGAAGCAAATAGAAAAGGACAAATAAAGGAATTCGAATTGTTTGGAGAAAATCCAAAATAGAAGAAATAGAAAAAACAAATGCAGGACATGCTCGGAAAGCAAGCAGCCGGAATGATCATAATTCATGAATCATGATGGAGCGGAGGTTCACATCTCAGCCACTCTGATGAACTCCAGCCTCCACGTCCGCAGCTGCAGGGCAGCCACGTTGCCCAGTTGCTTTACACAAAAGTGCTGCTACGAAGTACGAACGTGTCTACGGCTATCTCTAACGACACCATAAAAAATACAAGACTTATTCATCCTTTAGGTAGTGCTACAGATAAAAGATTTAATATATATTCAGCATCTTCTCCAACAACAAGACCTAAAAGAAAATCTTTTCTACAAATGGGTTTTCAGGAGAAAGGATGCCCATATTTGAGTTGTATCTCTCAACCAACCCAAAATAAGTCTCCCGTATAATTACTATGTTGGAAGCTAATTTTAGATCTCTTACTATCCATTTTGGATTTGGGTGCCATATAAATGCCTTATTGGAGACGGTCTAAGGGCTAAGACATACTCATCTCAATGATCAGAGGAGAGACAAAGCATGTCAACAGACAACAGTGGTTGTGGTTCTACACTTCTACTGCCATGTCAATATTCCTGCTGCAGCTTCATCCATGATCAGTGGATTTGGCACTGTATTAAATTAAAGATCCTTCTAGAGAATGGTCAAAACCCAATTCGGCCGCCTGGGACATAGAGCAGTAGAGCACTACTAAACCAAACACGGAAACAGTACAGTACAATTTTTTCCCCAACACGATTAAGAAACCGTCCACTCCATACAGTTCTACCAAGCTGAAAGGAGCTAAAATTACTAACAAGTACATTAGAAGCTCAATAATAATCCGTACTCCATGGTTGGACAATCCAATGTCCAAAACAAAACAGACAAGCGAAGATGACTTCACTTGCAATAGTCAGCTAAACACCAAGATCAACTACTCTGCATAGTCTATATAGAGTATCTATGTAACTCAAGATAGACTGATTTCCTAATCCAAGACCTAGTAAAATGTACACTCTATCTAATGCCACTACAATAAATATGAGTAACAAGTGACTAGCGATACAAACATGCCTATCCACAAGCCCGTAAATAGATTTAATTTTTAGGATTTATGGATTCTCACTGACTGAGTCATCAGGTCGTGGGTTCGAAGCAGCATCGCCGTAGATTTTTTGAGGGAAATGTTTGTCTCGGTTTATCCCTTCCCTAGACCCCACTCATGTAAGAGCTTCCGACATTAGGTCTATTTTTTTTTTCAGATTCTCAAAATTCATAAAAATTAAATCTATTTATTTATGGGCTCACGGATAGACCCACTTCTATCCTACTATCCATTCCTACAAGGAAGCAAGCATGCATGGATTGATGGAGTACTAAATAACTAATAGAGGAAGTTATCAGCATATTCGTTTATTGGTTTTAACCATGGCTTATTAGTCAGTCAATAGTGTTTTCTCTAATATTAAACCAGCATCAACCGGACTTATCAGCCCAGAAACCTATCAAACAAACATGCCATATATCTCAGCTAACATGATCATCAGATCCCTCTCACTCGGGTATGGTCTGCAGCGACGGCCGCCACTGCCCCTCCTCCCTGTGCCGGAAGTTGGAGCTAGTGCTGGCCACGCACAGGAGCTCCGAGATGACTTCCTGGACGGGCGCGCCGCCACCGCCGCCGTGCTTGCCGTCCTCTACGCGCCGCAGCAGCTCCTCCAGCTGCTTCCTTGTGATCCTGATCTTCACCTCCGTGGTCGCCGCCGGCGCGGGCGCGTGGCCAGCGCCCTCGCCCTTGCGCGCCTCCTCCTTCATGTCCCCCACGTCGTTGTCCTCCACCCACACGGGGTTCGTCCTGGCGCAATGCACGGCGCCAGCACCGCCGCCGCCATGAGACCTCTCGAGGCAGCAGTTTCCCATCGATCGATCTCCTTGGGTAGACAAGGACACTAAATACCGATCGGCTGCTGGAGGCGATCTGTGTGCGGTCTGGGCAAAAAGATTTGGTGCGTGGAAGAAACGGTGGATCGTTTGCGAAGGCGGCCGCGGTGGAGTAGATATAGGCGCGCGGCGGGCGAAGACGGAAGGAACTAGACGACGACGAGACAAAGGGGGAGGAGCTGAGCAGCAGCAGACGCGCGTCCGGGACACGTGGATGGCCGTGATCGGGTCGCGGACGAACGGGCCCGTGGGGCTGGCCGACCACGTCGCCGCGCTGGCGCGTCGTTGGGTGTTGGATGGGCCGGATCGGGCTCTGGCGGTGGCGCAAAGTGTGAAATGGGGAATCGTGTTTAAAAGCAAAGTGGGACCTTGTAAACGTGGCTCCCGTTAGCTACCAGCCTACGACTACGACCGGGCCTTTTTTTTTTTTGCAGTACTTTGTTTTTTTCACTTGGTTTTGGCGTGAGTTTTACAGCAACAGTACAATAGTTTACTCCATGATGACAGCTTAGGCTTACATAGCGTGCCAGTATGCCACTGGAGTTTCTTATAATCTTATGCTGACTAATTAGGTCTTAGACCCTGCTCGCTTCCTTGTGTTATTTTAACAAGAAAGCTAACCACATAGGAGCCTGTAGAAGAATATATGAGTTTAATGCATCATAGGTCCTAAAATTTAAAAAGATGTATTTACTTAGGTCTATGAACTTTAAAAATGCATTTCTAAATCTTTAAATTTGTTGAGTGGTGCATCACATGTCCATGTCAGTTTTGTTTGTTCTATGGCCCCGTTCGCGTGCCCTTAAATCTGGCTTGATCCGCTTCTTTTTTCATCCAGAACAGTGTTTTTCTCTCACAAATTCCTCCAGCATTCCTCCAAACCATCCAAATTCTCTAGAATTCCTCCAAGCAAACATGCCCTATGCTTGATATGATGTCAGCATTACATTTTTTTTAATTTAACCCTCCCCCTCCCCTCTTCTCTCACAAATGAATCTTTGCTTCCCTTTTCTATCACGGCGAGGCCAACCCGGTGGACACCGCCACTCCCCTCTCCCCTTGCCTCGCTCGCTGCTGCTTGCATTGTTTGTGTGCCGTTGTTCCGCCCCACCAATGGCCAACACCTCGTCATCCCCATGTGTGGCCGGTGTTAGGGTATCTTGCGTCCTCACGACATTGCGCGAGGGATGGAACAATACTGGTACGCACATGGCGAATCACACTTCTTTGACCACCAACCCGTCGCTGATGGTGACAAGCTCTCGATGGTGGTGCCGCTGATGGTGATAAGCTCTCACACCACACGGATGACGAGGTGTTGCCCATTGGTAGGAAGGACAACAACGCATGAGAGAAGAGGGAAACAAGGATCCATTCGTGCAAGAAGAGGAAAAAGGAGGGGTGCCGATGGACCTACGATGCAGCATCTATCAAGTTTAGGGACTCAAAAATGCATTTTTAAAGTTCGTGGACCTATGTGACACACCTTTACAAAGTTTGAGGGCCGCTAGTGCATTTAACTAAAAATATATATATGCTTGTGTCGTGTTTTGAAGGTTAGATAAAATAGTAGTGCAGCTTGCTAATCCAAGCTAGTGTTATACAAGCATGTCTTGAATGCATGAGACCACATAGAATTACTAGTGGAATCACTTTAAGTCGTTAGTCATATTACTTCACTCAAGAGTTAATGTCACCATATAGGCGACAGTTTATCAGTATAGTTTTGTCCACTTACCGTCAGATTATCAGGGCTTAATTTCGCCTCCAGCGTCATGGTATATTATTGACTTTCCTGTCTTCCAGCCTACACTATAGCAGAGATAATAATATAATCTACATAATCGCAGATGCTAGTACATTTTAAGTTTAGCTAGATTGCAGAGTTTTGACATCTTTTGAAATATAATATGCTTTTTCCTCTTAGAAAATCAGACGATTCTCTGTTTATTTTATCAGTTGTTGTAAACACCGGATGTAAGTATATTCACAAACACGGAAACCGGCTAGTAATAATTTGTTCTGGTGGTCGAGTAGTCGCCATCTGAATCCCCTGAATTTCCAGCTGATCAATTTGGCTCATTTCTAATCATGAACCATATCACAACCGAAAAATGATTAGCAGCAGTTAGCGTATGCCATTGCTACCTCGCTGAATAATACAGTGTTACACAGAAATGGTCCTCTCACCTTGTATGATTTCATTCCAAATATTGCAACTTTCAGGATGAAGCATGACAGTATATCCAAGTTCCAACTTCCAATCTAACTCCGCCTTAGTTCTATTTTTCTAATAACCACCGTTTCTTTTAATTTCCAGATGGTGCAGGTTTGCAGTTCTCTAACAATGATGAGATGGGGCCAATCAATCAATGTATGCTAGAAATAAAATTGTTCGGTTCAGACTTGACACTTGAGAGCTAGGTCGAACTCTTAAGACAGACGTTTAATTAGTTGCAGTGTATCTATCCGATCAAGACATGAGATATATATAGGTCAACAATTTCCAGTTGGTTGGGGAATATATGCCGGGTTGGTTGGGACCCCACATCGCGGCCACCGGCTGTTTGCTTCCCATGGAGGCGGAGGCAACCAACCGAGCTCATTTTGTTAGAAATAGTAATTAGATGATTAATTAACAGTTACTATTAAAGTATGTGTTAATTGTTATGAGGCATGCTAATTAGGATCAGCAGTATCAGCACCGGTGTTGGTGACTTCGTGCACTGCATGAACATCGAACGACGTTGTCCGGGCGGCGGCGGTCTCCCGAACGACTACGGCCGGCGACACCGGCGGGCTGGCCCCCGTCGCGTTACAATGCCACAGAGGCGGCCGGCGGCCAACCGTCGACTCAGCCTTGATCCGTCCACCGAGCCCCGCACTCGGCGACGGTGGCGGCAGCGTACTCCCCAATGGAACCGGCGGTGGTGCCAGCTCGTTTTCCACCTCCACGGACGGAGGCGGCACGGGTCAAGGAACAGAAGCGAAGACGAAGGGGAAAGAGGAGGAGCTGAGTCGGCGGTGACGGACTCTGATTACGGCCGAATTTGTGGCCCAAGCCAACGTTTGCTTCCTCACAAACCTGGACCCAAATTGCATCCAAGGCTGAATAGGAAGTTGGCAGGCCCGACAACGTTCTATTGTTGTTCAATTTAATTTCAATAGCATAATTGTAAATAGCCCCTCTGGTTTGATCTAATTTCGAGCACTAGGTACACAATGTTGCAAATTCGCGGTCTGGGTTTTCATAAAATCTGTGTGTGAGAACAATGTATCACTGTGTTATGTAATACGAACCCTGATTTTATAGGAAATTGGCATGTTCAATGCGTTATAATGTTACATCTCAATAAACATGCAATATTTTGCTCTCTTTATTTTTACAGTTACTTTCTAGCAATATTGTTATCATTTAATTCATTCTTCCAATTAAGTTTTGAACTTATACATATTTTCAATTAATATGAGCTTAATTTAAGATTGAACTCTATGAAAAATAGAATTGATTAGCTTCGCCACCGTGGTGGCGATCGAGCTTGGTCACTAAGGGCACGATTGGTTCCGATAATCTTAGCCTTGCTTTGACAGTCGAGCCTCGCCTTGCCGACGGTGGAGAGCTGATTTCCGCTCACGTGCTTTGGCAAGAAAAAACTCACTTGCGTAGGCCACGAGGTGACCTAACGAGGACTCTAAACACATTTTGTTCTCTGTTACCTGGCTGGGCAAGGCGAGGCAATGCAAGCCCACATGCAGCCCGCGACATGCACGGGCTTGGGTGACCAAACCATGACATGCTGAGTGGTGGGCGCCAACAAAGGTTTTTAGCTCAAATTCAAAGCGAGAGCGAGGGACAATGGATCGAGAGATGAACATATATCACATGGGCGAACAGGGAAGAAAGTGAGTGTCGGAAGAAATAAATTTACCGTTTTCAATATCAGTTACTCCCTCCATTCCAAATTATAAGTCATTTCAACTTTTTTTTAGTCAAATCATATCAAGTTTGATCAAAATTATAGAGTGAATTACAAAGATTTATAATATCAAATAGGTATGCTATAAAAATATATAAGCAATGAAAGAATTTAATGATACTTATTTGATAACATAAATATTATTATTTTATTATATAAATTTAATCAAACTTGAAAAGCTTTGACTCTTCAATAAAATTAGAATGACTTATAATTTAAGACTTAGGGGTAATATATATAGATTTGTTTGACTTTGGACACAACTAGAACTACATTGTTTTAGAATGGGTATATAGTACATAGTTTTACATTTCCAAAGTATGTTGACCAATGGAACTAACTACATACAAATAATCAACAATTATCTACAACATATAATTAAACTACGAACCAATGCTGATCTCCTCTGTAATCCCACCATCCTAGAATAGACTACATCACAAAGGCGTCCATCTGTTCGCAAATTACGACCATCCACTGCTAGAAAAGACTACACTCTACGCAAAGGCAACCATGCGTATTCGCAAATAGCACGACCATCAACTGCACAAAACACTGGGTAATAATAGCACGATCATCGACGAACATGCCAACGACGAGCACCATGAATTGGATCTCACTCGGGTATGGTCTGCAGCGACGGCCGCCACTGCCCCTCCTCCCTGTGGCGGAAGATGGAGCTGCTGTTGACTACGCACAGGAGCTCGGAGATGACTTCCTGGACAGGCGCACCGCCTGTGCCGCTGTGCTTGCCGCCCTCTACGCGCCGCAGCAGCTCCTCCAGCTGCTTCCTTGTGATCCTGATCTTCACCTCCGTGGTTGCCGCCGGCGGGCCCTCGCCCTTGCGCGCCTCCTCCTCCTTCCTGTCCCCCACGTCGTTGTCCTCCACCCACACGGGGTTCGTCCTGGCGTAATGCACGGCGCCGGCACTGCCGCCGCCACCGCGGCGAGGCCTCTCGAGGCAGCAGTTTCCCATCGATCGATCTCCTTTGGTGGGCACGGAAACTAAATACGGATCAGCTGCTGGAGGCGAAGGACGAGCGAGTTTCGTTAGTGTGCGGTCTGGGCAAAAGGATTGGTGCGTGGAAGAAACCGCAGATCGTTTGCGAGGGCGGCCGGGGTGGAGTAGTTATAGGCAGGCGCGGGCGCGGCAGGCGGAGACGGAGACGGAGGAGGAAGGAACGAGACGACGACGAGACAGGGGAGGGATGCGCGTCCGGGACACGTGGATGGCCGTGATCGGGTCGCGGATGACGGGCCCGTGGGCGGGCCGACCACGTCGCCGCGCTGGCGCGTCGTTGGGTGTTGGATGGGTTGGGTCGGGCTCTGGCGGTGGCGCAAAGTGTGTGAAGTGGGGGAGAAAGGGGGGCGCGTTTAAAAGCAAGCAAAGTGGGACCTTGTATTTGCTCAAAATAAAATAAAAAGCAAAGTGGGACCTTGTAAACGTGGCTCCCGTTGGCGACGCCCAGGCTTTGTTTTTGCAGTAGTTTTTTCTTCAGTTGGTTTTGGAGCAAGTTTTACAGCAACAGTACAATATACTTTACTCGATGATGGCAGTAGACAGCCTTACAGGCTTACAGCCTCAACAAATTTTATCTGCAAAGAACAAGCTTACATACGAATGGGTCCAGACGCCAGAGTTTTGGCCCGCTTTTCGCGAGGAAGTTTTGTTATGACTTACGACAATGCAAGCTCGGGCACTCTTCAGCTCCAAATATGCACACTGCGGACAACACAAGCATAAAGCATCCTCTCGGAAGAAATTGGCAGTTATCTACTACGTTAGTTCATCTGACGGTTTGTAGTTTTTAGTTTGTACAATTCTGAGCTGCTGTCATGCACGCCAGTATGCCACTTGAGTTTCTTATATGCTGATTAATTAGGTCCTAGACCCTGCCCACTTCCTTGTGTTATTTTAATGAGGAGGCTAACCACATGGCAGCTTGTACGACCTGCATGATGCAGTTGATAAAATATCTATGCTTGTGTCCTTCGTTTTGAAGGTTGGCTAAAAGATTATTATTACAGCTTGCTAATAATGCTAGCTAGTGTTGTACAAACATGACTTGAAGTCTTCAATCTCACTTGCTTGATCATCATATACACGAGAGAGCAGAGAAGGAATGCTAGTTGAACCACTTTAAGTCATTACTCATTTCTTCACTCAAGAGTTAATCTGAACATACAGGCAACAGTTCATCATCGGTACAGTTTTGTCCACTTGCCGTCAGATTATCAGGGCTTATTAACTAAGCTCGAATGCAGAGTTTTAACACGATTCTCTGTTTTTTTCCCCTGTTGCAAATACCAAATCCAAGTATTTTCTCAAACACGGAAACGGGCTAGTAATAATTTGTTCTAGTGGTGGAGTAGTCGCCATCTGAATCCTCTGGATTTCCAGCTGATCATTAGGCTGACTTGTAATCATGAACCATATCACAACCGAAGAATTATTAGCAGTTAGCGTATGCCATTGCTACCTCTCTGAATAATAATACACCGTGTTACAGTACTAGTACTAGTACTGCATCCCTGAAATGGTCCTCTCACCTTGTATGATTTGTCCAAATATTGCAACCTTCAGAACAAACCATGACGGCATATATATGTATATATATCCAAGTACGTTGCATCTTCGAATCTAACTCCGGCTTAGTACTAAAAATTAATTTTCTAATAACCACCGATCCTTTTTAATTCCCAGATTAAAAAGATGGTGCAGGTTGCGGTGTTCTTAAAACAATCATGGGATGGTAGTGCCAACCAACGCAAGCTAAAATGGTTCAGTTCAGACTCGAGAGCTGCATCGAATTCAACTGTTAATAAGATGGACCTTTGATTAGTTTTTTTTTTTAGAAAGGCGGCAAGAGATCTGCCGGATTTTTATTAGACGAGCTTGGACCTTTGATTAGTTGCAGTATATCTATCCGATCAATCATGCATTATCGATTATACTCCAACCTCTAAAATGACCTGAGATCTAGGTCAACAGTTCCCGGTTGGCGGTTGGTTGGGAATATATGCCGGGTTGGTCCGGCCACCTGACTGATTGGTTTCTTTGGGACCGCCCGCCTCACACCCCCACATCGCCGCCACCGGCCAGGAGTTGGCCGGTCGCGGTCGCCGCCGGCCGGCTGGCTGGCTGGCTTGCTTCCCGTGGAGGCGGAGGCAACCCAACCGAGCTCATTTGACCACCAGCGCGCTGCCTTTTCAGTGTTTGACATTGTGATGGTACTGGCGATCGATCAGTTTATTTTCTGCGTGTGAACTGTGATTGTGAAGTTGTGCTGTTGTTGGGACCTGGGACTTGGGAGGACGATTGATTCTGATTGGGACGCTGGGTCGCCGACGCCGACGTGGCAACAGAAACGAAACTTTGCATACTGCAGCTATCGCAACAAGTTCCGTCGTTTATATGTGCATGCTTGAGTGCTTTACATACACCGCGTGTGCACTCTCGGTACAAGACAAGGCTGGGAAACTGTTTGGTGGTGGAATAAGAAGGTTCCTTCATAAACAGAATGCTAAGCTAGTTTGCATAACAAGAACGCAGGCATTATTGTATTATTATTATTAGGATGGTATATGTACACACATTTCCATTTTTTCTTCTTTTGTGTTGGCACAGAATGCTCGGATTCTCATTTTTTTTGCGAGATGCCCTAGAGAAAGTTGTAAGCATACTACGGATTTTTTTTTTTTAAAGGATCATGTGCTTGTGAGTTGTGAGTAAACGGTTTTTTTTTTTTTTGATAAAAGTTGAGAGTAAACGGTTGTTGACTTGTTGGTTCTGCTGCTACATTCGTCTTGGATCGCTTAGATGAGGAAAACCCAAGTGAGGCGGCCTACAAGATGAGACGTTGGGCCTGTATGAGTGAGTAAAGTGTTTTGAGGAGAGAGACTGGCCTGGGCCTTGTGTAAGTGTGGATGGACGGACGCGTTGGAACTCAAAGAAAAGCCCAATTGGCAGCGCGCGAGCTGATCACAAGACGACGGGTCCCGGCCTGGCGAGAAATTGTCGTTGGGGCAGTTTCACATTCACTGCGACGGGCTCGCTAAACCATGGACCGTACACTGGAAGCTTAGGCCCAATTGAGAGCGGCCCACTTTGTCTTTGCTCGATTGCGTCATTTTTAAAGCAACGATTCGTTTTGGCATTGGATTTCGGGGTACAGGAGCTTTGTATATGTTATAAAACATGTTTTCAGCGGTTATAACCTTTCCCTCTCCGCTTTCATGATTAACACAGTAGATAAAAGTAGAGAACAAATAGATATAAGATAGGGAGACTATTATTTATTTCTCTGAATATTGGTGATTACAACATAGAGATCCACGTATATATAGCCATACCAAGGTCTAAGAGTTTGGTAGCCCATAACCCACATACAAACGAACTAGGATTATGATTCTTTCTTCTCCTTTTCTTTTAGGATAGAGTCCGTATGTTTTACAACACTCCCTCTTTGGTGATTACAATGATATGCACATGCCTCATTAAAAACCCTATCCGAAAATCCAGTGGGAAAAACGGTTCTTAGAGAAAAGAGTACATCGCATTCGTTAATTGCATTGCACATGTTGTCTCATTAAAAACCTTGTGTCCGAAACCTTCAAGTAAAAACTTCATAAGGAAAATAGTACAACATTTAACCTTCTTGGTCATGTATTCTTCAAGATATTCTATTCTTCATGAATAGATATTGATCTTATGATCTATGCATAAACTTTATTATTATAGCAAATATGATCTACTTGATCTTTGTAATTCTAGTGGTTTATCTTCAAGGTAGATTCAATAAAAATATGCTCCCCCTCATAAAGCCAAAATTTGAACTTCATTGTTCAAACCACACTTTTCATAAATATATGCTTAATTAATGGTATGCAGCACCCAATACTATATCTTTCAAAAAGTTGTCTCATAATTCTTTTATAAATTATATGGGTATAAACAAGAGCAATATGCTTCATGCATAATAACCACTTATTAGTTGTGAAAAATAAAAAAATTATCTTTTAGGGTAATAAATCCTTTTAGAGGATTATGGGGGTAAATAAGTTAATATTCAATATCTTCTAGATAGTGTATCGAACTTATACTAGAGTTTGAATACTGATAATTCTTCCTTAGTGAATTTTTAAATTATATCTTCTATAAATCTTTGAGACTTTTGATTGTACCACTAAATGATAAATCTAGTTTTGCATTTGGCATTTAGAGGATAATTCAATTGCCAAAGTTACTATTATTCGTATACCTTCTATGGTATTTAAAGGATATCAACACTTCATTGCTAGCTTTATAATATACATTTTCTGAGTGTTTGTATGATTCCTCATTTTCTCTCATGTCTACATTCACTTTAGGAATTAATGGTGTTTTTTAAGAATTGACTGGTAAATCCTTCAAGGATATTCTCATTCTTAGTGAATAACATTTCTCTTCTATGAGATATATTCTCTACTACATAAGAGATTATTATGTGATATACACAATGAGATAGTGGTATTCACCATAAAGTCATTCGATGACTCTTTTCGTTCTAGGACATACTCTTCTTGAGACTTCAATATTCATATATGAATATATATTCTACCTTAGACTTCATAATACTTAGTATGAGATTTAATTTTTATATGTTGTGATTTCTATTCAGATTTTCAGAATCCACTTACTAACTGCATATTTCATATTCATTCATTTCATTTGCCAGAGATATAGCAGAACATTTATTTCTTCTTAGTAGGAGATTTAACCTCAATTGCTTTCTTCACTGACCTGATATAATCGCTACAAGCAATTTTGCCATGAACTTTGTTTTCTGGATCCGGATTCTCATAGGAGAAGCATTTCAATTATAGAGGTACCATTGTCGACAACTATTATTTTCTCTCAATATTCTCATAATATGATATTATTCTATCTCTTTGTCATTTCCCATACAAGAGATAATTTATTGTTTTACGTACCCA